AGCTCCAGCTCCCCATGCAGGGATATGAGAAAAGCTTTCCACAAGGATGATAAAAACATCAAAACATCTGGGCATCCCCTGGGCAACGTCCTTGCAGACGGCCAATTCTCTCACACCAGAAGCAACTTGCAGTTTCTCAAGTCTGACACGAAAAGAAAATTATTGTTATTATTATTATTACCCAACCTTTCTTCCCATGGGGACTCAAAGAGGCTAATAATCCATGAATACTTGCAGCTGTCAAATCCTCTAGCTTTTGCTGTTGTTTTGTGGATCAAGCTTTTCATTGAATAGTTGTATTCCCTAATACTGTTGCTACCCACCTTATCTCAAGCCATACTGAAAATATATTACTTTGCTTTCTGACCACTTAATTGGTATCTAGTTCAATGAACAAAGAAGATATTGGACTGGGTTTAGAAATACAGGTTCAGTATTAATAATCCAAAATGCTTGGGACCTTTCAAACTGCACAATTATAGCAATTTTACCCCACTTTTAACTACCAATTAATGAATGCTTCTTCAGATCACATTTCCCCAGATTAAGACAGCTTCACTGGCAGGCTGCTTGTTTTTCAAACTGCTGAGGCTTTCTTTTTCAGTGTATAAGTTGAGTGGGAATCAGATATTTTAAGGCATATCTGATCCCTTAATTAACATCCCTGTATTCTGTGGTTATTTTCCATTGCCCTTGCCCACATTCTTCAAGATTAGAAGTGAAGCTGATATCAACTTGGGAAAGTGCCATGCTGCACTATTTGTAGAAGTGTATTGCCTTGGTGCCAGATCAAAATAAAATCCTTCCCCATCTTTTAAATCTACCCAGGCATTTTAAAATGTGTTTTATCTGCATTTAATTGTGGGTTGTTTCTGGTATGGATTTTATTGTAAACCATTGCAAAATGCAGTTTGATAAGGGGTAGCATTAAAATTTTTGAAATGAATACATTAAACAGCTGTTAGAGATACAATGGTCTCATGTAGATAAAGCTAAAGATATTCCCTGACATTAATTCCAGTCGTGTCCAACTCTGGGGGTTGGTGCTCATCTCCATTTCTAAGCCGAAGAGTCAGCGTTGTCTGTATATACCTCCAAGGTCATGTGGCCAGCATGACTTCATAGAGCGCTGTTATCTTCCCGCCGGAATGGCACCTATTGATCTACTCACAATTGCATATGTTCACACTGCTAGGTTGGCAGAAGCTGGGGCTAACAGCAGGAGCTCACGCCACTCCCTGGATTCGAACCTGTGACCTTTCGATCAGCAAATTCGTCAGCTTGGTGCTTTAACCTACTGCGCCACTGGGGACCCTAGTAACTGCAATGTAACATTTAGCCAAGTTGATTTTTGACTTTTGTTATTCTACTTCTCATGTAGTATCTGTTTAATTTCTTGGAAAAGTTGAAGTTTTTGTCACTTTGGGGTCACATGTCAGTGATATTTGAAACACGTTTCAGGACAGGTGCTGAGTAATATGTGATGTGGTCCAAACATGGATGCACTTTGTGGAGGAGGATAAGCTATGTTTTTTTGTTTTGTTTTTTTTTTTGCAATAAAACTATTTTTTACAGAAGACAGCAATATGTGTATTTATTTTCTTTATTTTGAATCTAAGCAAAGGGGTCATGGGGGAGAAACCGATTGAGGCCACAATCAAGATGCTTTTCACCCTTGATATTTCAAAAGGTTGAAGCATGCTGGCAAGAGTTCTTTGTTCAATCTCCTGGCTTTATTTTCCTTTTACAGAAGCTCTTTGTTCGCTCTGAATCAAAGTAATGTACTGGGAAGTGTGGGGCGGGGTGAGGCCGGGCACAGGTTAGAAGGAATAATGACAGTGAAAGCTACAGCCTCAGTCTTTGCATGCTGCACAAACATGGATTGAGCCTGGAAACAAAAGGCATGTTTGGGGAAACTATTATGGACAACGTGAGGTTTTCTCCTGAAAGCATATGTTGTGTAAGTGTTTTCCATAGACTCGAGATAACTTTATTTACAACCAACTTTTATTCCCCTCTTTACCTCCCAAAGAAAGGGAAACAGGATCAGCATTTACTAGAATCTTTTGGCATTGCTTGACGAGAGCAATAACTCAAATAACCCACCCTGGACCTTAAACCCAATTTTCCAAGTTCCAACAGACCTCACAATCTCTGAGGATGCCTGCCATAGATGCAGGCGAAATGTCAGGAGAGAATGCTTCTAGAACATGGCCATATAACGCGAAAAACCTACAACAACCCAGTGATTCCAGCCATGAAAGTCTTTGTCAATACAATAACTCAAATACATTCTCCAGGACAAGTGCTTTCGGGAGATAATGGCAGGTTCCAGACTAAGACAGCTGCATGTTATCTGATAATATAAGCAGGAAAACTAAAAACCTCATTGACATTGTGCAGATATGTAACAGAAAGGAATGCGGTCCATCAAATATTGGAGCTGTCAGGAACAACACTAGGGGCTTTTCAACACCAGCCCACACAGCCTTTGCACAGAGAAAATGCTTTCAAGTGAAAGGTATTAGGAATACAAATCCGACAATTGCACTTCATTGCTTAGGAGAAATATTGCTTGTGAATCTAATATTCTTTCCTAAGGCTGGCAAGGCCAGGGAATCCCTTCATCTCATTCATGGCATCTAGTGGGCTTTTTGACTGCTTCCTCAGGAGGAAACGGCTTTCACCGTTTCATTTTGTACCCCATGCAGTGGGCACGTTGGATGTGGACAGCTGTGAGAAGCAGAGGAGACTACAGTCTCCAAGCCATGCAGAAAATCACTGGAAATAGGCAAGTTGGTTCTGTCATTCAGGAAACCATCACACCATTACATTTCTTCCTGTCAAAAGACCAGAAGGAAAAGCTGACATTGGACCAGCTGAAATGCTTGCTAGATAATGTTCAAGGCACATGGTTTACTTCACTTTTATTCTGCATCTCTGTAGTAGTTTTATTTTCTGTCTTAGTGTACTAAAGAAAATGATCTTCCATTCATCCTCATTTCTAGGAATTTCATATCCCCAAACAGTACTTTGTTTAAACTTTTCCAGGGTTGGTTTAAACCTGACACTGTTAAAACTGTGTATCTCTTAGAGCAGTAGTTCTCAACCTTCCTAATACCATGACCCCTTAATACAGTCCCTCATGTTGTGGTGACCCCCAACCATAACATTATTTTCATTGCTACTTCATAACTGTAATTTTGCTACTGTTATGAATCGTAATGTAAATATCTGATATACAGGATGCATTTTCATTCACTGGACCAAATTTGGCACAAATACCCAATATGCCCAAATGTGAATACTGGTGAGATTGGAGGGACTGATTTTGTCAGTTGGGAGTTGTAGTTGCTGGAATTTACAGCTCAGCTACAATCAAAGAGAATTCTGAATCCCACCAACGACAGAATTGGGCCAAATTTTCAACACAGAACTCTCATGACCAATGGAAAATATTGTTTTCTGATGGTCTTTGGTGACCCCTTTGACACCCCCCTTGTAACCCCCCAGATGTCCTGACCCCCAGGTTGAGAAACGCTGTCTTAGAGGAATGTTTCAGTGGCGAATGAACATAATTACATATTTTGTCTGTTCCAACTACAGCTCCATCCTCATGATGCACATTCCCCCCGCCTTTAATGAAGGTTTAACCCCATTGTTCGTCCCTTTTGAGCTTCTCCCTCAGAAATACATTCTCCCACTACTAATCTCGTGCAAGGTTTTATCAATTTTATCCTAGTACATTTGGTCCGCCCACAATGTTCTATTTCTCTATCATGTTATTTTGAAATTGTTTATTTTATTTTGTTATTTCATGTATTTATTTTGATGGTATTTTTGCTTCTTTGTATTTTATTTTGCTGTACTGTAATTTTGGGCTTGGTCTCATGTTAGCCGCCCCAAGTCTCCTTTGGGGAGATGGTGGCAGGGTACAAAGAAAGTTTATTATTATATGGGCAGTTCCACCTTTCACATTCATCTTCTATTCATTATCCTACTTAGTCTTTTCTTTTTAAAAATATCTAGTGGAAGAATAATGTAGATAAGCTGAATGCCAGGATGTGCAAAATTGCGTTGAAAGCAGACTTTTCATGAAAAGCAGTCTATTCTAAAGGGAGTCAAGAGGTCATTTCATATCTTGGGGAAACATAACAGTGGTCAATATTTTGCCAGGAGGCAAGGGGCAGGGGAGAGTTCAGGAAGATCTTTTAGTCTGCTTTTTAAATGTTGCAGATGAAAGGATGAAATGAGCACTATGTATTACAACTTTCTGTGATTAAAACTACTTCAGACAGTACACAAATGGTAAAAAAAAATCATTTTGTAGGTACATTGAATTGTCCAGTAGATCAAGATAACCATGCATGTAATAGATCAAACTTGTACGCTGGCAAGAAATAAAGGTAGCATGTCTGATCTTAGAAATGCAAGGCAGTGTACAAAATAAAGCTACTTAACTAACGTTAACCCAAAGAGCAAAGGCTAGACAATACTCACTATTACTTATAGCTGATGACCATTTGTTTTGCAGGAACAATTACAGAGTTGCATAACAAGCCAGTTTCTTCAGACACTAGGAGAACACTATTTCCTTTTTAGTTTTGCTTCTGTTCGTGGGAAGGAAAATTTCACCATCTCATTGGAAGGTCATTGACATTGGTCTAGTCTATCCATTCTAAAGTCTCTTTTAAGTTGAAAAGGCAAGCATTTCCAGGTATTATTCACTTTGTTTCGCATGCTTGTTTGTTTTTGCAATGCCTTGAAATTTTTCATGTTAAGATGTCTTTTCAGTGAACCTACCAACATGATAGTCAGCTCCAAAAACTAATTCTGTGAAAGGGGTCTAGTTGTGAACTCAGTCTAAGAAATTGAGAGGTATTCTAACCTCCTCCAATAAAAGAGGTCCATATATTCTATGCTTAGTGTTTTGAACTGTGTCCCTTTTGATTTTGAATGGTGTTTGCTAACAGCACTCCTGTTCTTTTGTGTGTGTCCAGGAGTTCAGACTCTGAAGAAGCATTTGAGACACCAGAATCTACAACTCCCGTGAAGGCTGCCCCACCACCGCTACCACAGCCACCACCAGAAATTGCAGCCTTTGAAATAGAAGAACAGGAAGTACAACCTCAGCTTCCACCAGAGGACATAGGTAATCACTATTTGGGATGATCCTTTCAAATATGGAAGGGAACATTAAATATTCTTGTTGGAGTTTGAATTTATTGGAACCAAATGCTAATTGTGATCAAAGAAATGGACATGCTCATGAGGATAGATTATGTGATTTGAATGTAGAAAGTCTCTGTTCGGTAAGTAGTGTCTCAGCAAGACTGGGAAGGAGGCTTGGCTGAGATCTTGGAGAACTACGACGAGGATTTTCTGTTAGAACCATAGTCTACAGAACAGTGGTTCTCAGCCTGTAGGTCCCCAGATGCTTTGGCCTTCAACTGCCAGAAATCCTAACAGCTAGTAAACTGGCTGGGATTTCTGAGAGCTGTAGATCAAAACATCTGGGGACCCACAGGTTGAGAACCACTTTAATTACCATGAAATTCTGAGATTTGTAGTTTGGTGAGGCACCAGTACTACTCCTCTTATGATTCCATTGCATTACACAACTATTGAAATGGTGTCAAAATGTATTAATTTTTTAGGATACCTTTGGACAGCTTTAGGATACCTTTGCCTACTTATATTGGTCTTCTCTTCATTAGAGGGAAGTTATTTTAAGATGTGTTCTTACCACAACCCACTGAAAAATCATTTGTTTGAAAATTCAGTTTACAAATGTTTTCAGGTTTTCATATGCCTTCAAATTTCACATGGCTTCAAGTCACCTGTAGACTTGTGGCAAATCCATTAATTTTTCTTAGTCAAGGAATACTCAAGGGTGATTTGCCAAATCCTTTCTCTGAATTATATTCTTCATCATGTGGTATTAATTTGTGGTCTCTCATACAAGTACTAAACAGAGATTACTCTATTAGCTTCCAAGATCAGAAGGGATCTGGTGCCTCTAGCTCTGAAACTGCTCAAGTAACTGCTTTTAAATGAAAACTAAGAAACCAGGTTCATATGGAGCCTTGTATTGAAGGCATTTTAAGACAAGGTTGAACAAAGAGACACTAGGGAATATTTCATTTGAACCTAAATGTAGGGGCTCTTGTGTGTAGGTCATATATGTTTCTTAATGTAACTGCAAAAGTTCAGCCCCTGTGATTAAATGTCAAGAGTAGTAAAATCCCTTTGCTGAGGCTGCTTTGAAGTGAAAGGGCAACATTCCTTTAATTTCTGAGTCACTTCTGATGTCAAAAGGACAGAATCTAAAGCTTTCTACAGCCACAAAGATGCATTGTCGACTGTTCAAGCCTTGCTGAGAGTAGCTGATCTCATCCCCCTCACTTTATATTAATGTATGTGTTTCACCCAAAATATACCATCAGTTTAGAGGGGGATGTACTACTGCTAATTTGATGAGTGTGTTGGAAAATAAAAGGTCTGAAGCAAGCATATTCTATGTAAAGAACTTGAATACATTCCAGTCAAAAAAATTTTTTGGAAGGACAAATGCCCATTCCAAGGGTTTGGACTTGCAGGTGTTTGATCTACTGATCCATGCTGATGTCTTTTAGTCTTGATGGAATGACAAACTCAGTACTGTGTCACAGAATCTGCGGGACAAAGTAGTGATAACAAATCATCTTGTTATTGTTGGAATTCAAATCCACACTGCCCAAGTCTCAAATCCTCACTGAGGAACAGTTTAGTAAATATAGGCAGGGGTCCTCAAACTTTTTAAACAGAGGGCCAGGTCACAGTCCCTTAAACTGTTGGAGCGATTGTTGTTGTTGTTGTTGTTGTTGTTGTGGCGTGCTTTCACGTTGTTTCAGACTTAGGTTGACTCAGAGCGAGGGCCGGGTAAATGAGTTTGGATGGCCATATTGGCCCCGGGTCTTAGTTTGAGGATTCCTGGACTAAGGGTTTCCTTCCCCCCATGTCACCTATATGACAGTTGGGAATGTATCTATTTCTTCTCTCCTCTCTGTTTCTGCTCTCATTCTGATTAGTTATTTAAAGTCGACACTTTTCTAGCTTTTTCAAAACTGACTTCTGTGTTCTTACATCTGAATATATGCTGTGTGCTTTGAGAGCTCTCTCTGCTTGTGTGTCAGAGAGATGTAGTGATTGGTGTTATTTCCTTCTCTTTGAAATTTTAGAAGAGATGGGTGTTAGAGTAGCTCAGGCCCAGTTCTTGATTATTAAGAAATGAAGTTATTTCTTATTGTTGTAAATAAACCTTTTGTGATTTTTAAAGATTAGATTCTGCCTGCCTAAGCTCTAAATTCTTTACATCCATATCACACGCCACTTCACACTTTGCTAGCAGTGAGCTGTTGCTCAACTTAAAGTATCCTGTTTATTTTTGGATGCTCTACCTTTTATTGAGAATCTTTCTGTCTCTCACTGAAGAAACTGCTTTCTGGGGGGGAAAAACTCTTAAACGTGAGTCTCCTTATTATCTTCAGTAAAGGTTTTGTCAAACATTTTGACCCAGTGGAGATAGATGAATTTGTAAAGGGTTGATGCTGAACAGGATTTGTAGTGATTGACTATGCAGTAGTCTACTATCCTGAAGGTTGTCTCCAAAAACACTGTGTAACATGATTTTTGTTCCTGGGTGAGAAGTGTCATTTCCTAATTGGTTCTATCATTAAAACATGGAATAAGTTTATTATACTGCAAAAAACTTTGTTTTTGCGGGATATCCAGCATCACRTTTTGCTATAGTTTTTCAGCGAAAAACTCAACTCAGTCTGAACCAATTCAACATAATTTGTGCCAGCCACAAACACGGGGCTTCTGGAGTATAACAACTACTTTCAAAGTACGTACCACACAATTAAACAGGAAATAACACTTTCAAACCAGAAAGATTTTTTTTCAAATTTTGCTACATAGTGTAATATATGGGGAGGGAGAGGCTTGAAACAAATGACAATTTCAAGCAGAAGTGATTAGAGCAGTGGTTCTCAACCTGTGAATCCCCAGATGTTTTGGCCTTCCAGAAATCCTAACAGCTGGTAAACTGGCTGGGATTTCTGGAAGTTGTAGGCCAAAACACCTGAGGATCCACAGGTTGAGAACCACTGGATTAGGGAGTCATTTTCAATTCAGTGGAAATATCAGAATGTAGCTAACCTCAAAATGAGGCAGATACAAGGACCTAAAAATGGGGCAAGTGTCACCTGCTGGCCCATTGCAGGACCCTGTCACTCACCCTGTACTCCCATGCTATAAAGCAGTGCCTCCCAAACTCTGGTCTTCCAGGTGGTTTGGACTTCAGCTTCCAGCATCCCTGATCATTTGCCAAGGCAGATGAAGCTTTGAGAAACGGAAGCCCCAAACACTTGAAGTACTTGAGTTTGGGACTCACTATTTGAAAGGATACTGAAGAAGACAACAACAAAAATCTAACTTGAAGAACAACACCTTTCATGAAAAAGATGTCACAGTGGTTTGGGCTTATTAGCTTAGGGTAGGGGAAGGGATGTCTGCTTTGAAAGATGTCCTTTAAATCTTGATGAGATATACTTCTGTGTGGGTGCATTTATTTCTGATAAGTATTTATGGTTGCGTATTAAGTCTGCAGTCACAGATCTAACCCATTGTTGAGTTAACTTCTTGACAAGCACTTGCATGGTTGCAAATAACTATGTGTTTACTAGGAAGTGAGCCACATTGAACCAAATAGTTCACACCGTTGAAAGCCAAACATGTTTAAAGTTGGACTATTATAAGTTTAATTTAAGGCACCGCTTTCATACAGTCCTGTGTCTCTTTAAGGGAAGCTTGACTGATATTCAAAAATGTGCTTGTTGAGTGAAAAATGAACAGCAGCTCAGCTGGCAAGAATATCCCCAATTAAATAAAACATGGAACAAGAGTAAATCTAAACACAACATGTAGAATGGAAAAATCACAGTTCCATCGAGTTTCATAATATTATTAACATTCAGTTTTGTGTTTAAAGTAATTTGAACGACTGTATACACACACCATACATGGGAGGTTCAGCTCACAGATGTCCCATTTCTTCTCCACTTAGGTCCATTATTCTCAATCTAAAATCTGGCATCTACTTATAGAAAAACCTTTGACATATACTATTCACATGTGCTTTTAATATTCAAAGGGCAAAGGGTTCCCTTTTTCCGATTTAAAGGACGTTTAACACTAAAGAGGCTAGAAGCCTTTGCTGATGTACTGCTCCCTACCAATCTTTCAAGCTTACTTTCAAACTACATCTTTATGCAACATGTATTTTCACTCAGCAACATGTGTTTTAGATGTACTGATATTTGTGTGGTAGTTATTCAGACAGCTTACTTTTAGAAAAGACAGTATTTGTGTATTAAATGCATGTGTAAAACTGCCAAGTAGCATGAATGCTAAAACGGTTTACAAACAACATTAGCAGGTGGTTAGCCATATAAGTGTGTCCTTTCTCTTGTTGGTGTGATATTAAAATATATGATAAGCTCTTCGAAGTGCTTTATTTTATAATCCTTCCCATGTAAATAAATCATTCTACAGGTTTAATCGGCAACTATAGTCAGGAAAACTCAATTTCCTGTTAGAATATTGAAATCTGCCATGAAAACGCTTTTGTCTTTGGCCTTACAAGAGCGTTTATTAGATCACATGCAGAGTAAAATAATTGCCAGGGAAAAAGGGCTAAAGCATCTCATCCACTGGAAAGATGAATGTTGACAGCTAGTAATCATGATGTAGATTATTTTCAGTTTGATTGTTCATCATATATGCCTTATTTTTAGCTTGGTAGTAGAATGGAAATGCAATTGTTTCTGCCTGAGGGTGGCAAAGTACAGTGTATGAATGTGCAAGAGATAATGGTGACCATCCAAATTAATCAGTGTGACATGACAGTCAGAGATGCCAGAAGCCCATCCCTAGTTGCCCATGTGATTTCCCACTAGATATCTTTGGGCAACTCACTGCCTTTTTATTTAATCTGTTTGGCAGGATTATTCTTAGGCTATGCTATTGTTCAGAGTTTCTTTAAGGACAAGTGTCATGTGATTGCCTGAGTAAGTTCATTCGATCATTTCTGTACAGTTTCCATGCTGCACAGTGCTGTTAGTCCTTCTAAACTTGTTGTTTTATGGGGATAAATATTGTGTGTGTTTTGTGGAGATGTATCCTACCGTCGTAAACAAGCAATGTCTTTACATTCTCTCTGACCCCATCTACACTGACAATTTTTAGATCATGCTTCAGATTTTAAAAATACAGGAGGAAGTCAAAATCCTTTATCAAGACTGAGACTTTTCCCTGCTTTCACACAGTGCAGATGTCCACCACCAATTCCTACGTGGAATTGGTAGTAAGTGTCTCCCATCCTGTGCTCCACAGGCTCAGGTGGCCTGGAAACATGGGATTTGTCAGTCACATGGTATGGAACTAAGAAGAGAGGCAGCCAAAACCGCCTTGAGTTGCCAATTGGCTGAGAAAGGCGGTATTCAAATACAGTAAATAAATAAACCACGTGCTACGTCTCCTTGTCATCATTGTAGTTGCAGCCACAGGGTGGGAGGGCGGTTGGCATTTGGGCCCTTGCCCAGCATCGCTAAACTGGCTTCTGCATGGCTGAACAATGCAGACACTCTCCCACTGCTGAGGTGGGTCAGAATGCCCCCGCTGGAATTGGCAGTTTGGACACCTGTTCTAACCCATATTATGTCTCTGTGCAGAACTACACTTAGTCAATCTGTCTTATGCAAGGATTGCCTGGTCCCTACAGTAAGGTGTTTTCCCTAACTTAAGATAGACCAGAACCCCTTCAAAACATCAGAATTAGCTCTTGTATATGATGTGGGAAAACAAATTACAATTATAAGCACTGCATTTTTAATAGTTCTTGTTTGCTTCTTGAAGGTATCAATGTAATATGCAGCCTCCAACACCAGCCAAAGGAAAGGAACAGAATATTCATTGTTGGGGAAGGAAAATAAGATGATGATATCAAATGTCTTTCTTTGGAAAATTGTGCCTTGCTTATATCTGGGTTGAGCCTCATTTAAATCCTGTCTTACTTAGCACAGCATTAAAAGGGATTTTGAACTTGTTCATAATATGATATATCAAATCATAATATGATATGATTTGCTAATGACCCATTCCTGGATGCAGGTCTGAATTAAATAGTTTAGCAAATCCAAAATTAGGGTCCCTTTTGTCCAGATGTGCAGGGTCTTCTGTTGGAATGCCACCTTTGTGTTATGCCAGTTGAGGCCTAGTAGCACTGCCAGGCCAAAATAAGCCCTCCTATGCGATTTGTCCTGCTTAGATCCAAAGACCATCACTTGTGTCCAAACTGGGTGACCAAGGCCAGAACCTGAAAGAACATAGCATCTGGGTTGTTGTGAGTTTTCCAGGCTGTTCCAGAAGCATTCTCTCCTGACGTTTTCTCCTGCTTCGTGAATGCTTCTGGTTCATGGCCATACAGCCAAGAAAACTCACAACAACCCAGTGATTCCGACCATAAAAGCCTTCGACAACATATTTTTCCTCTACAATGAAAAATGGGGCTGTAATGGGAAGAGTGTGGGGGGAGAAAGATTGACAACTCCCTCTTCTCAAAGCAATTCTCTGTATTATTCATTTGTTTGTTTATAGTATTCCTGCATCGCTTCCTAGTCCACAAGGGCTCCTAGGGGATGAATAAATGAAAACCAATCAAAGCAGTATAAAGATTAAAAACATTTTTAAAACACATTAAGATTCTCTTTAAAAACACCTAAAACAATCCTAGAATCCTGTTTCAAAACAATTAAAACAGCAATTTCAAACTCTGAATGCCACACGGAACAGCAGCTTTAGCTGCTTACCAGAACCTTAAAAGACATGTGGACATCCTAACTTTCATGGGCAGGTGGTGTTCTAGCAACATATAAAATGGATAAGAAGTATTTGTGTGTGCACATATATACAATACCAGGATCAGCAATGGGTTCCAGCTAGTGAGAGCCTTGAGCGTTTATTCCGCTTTCGTCATTGATAATGCAACCTTGCATGCATATATAGAGTTTGGACACATGACTCCATGTTTCCTAACTCCTGAGATTTAGTTCAGGATTGTTCCACTTTAAAAGGTAAGGGCATGTCTTTTAACAGCACTTCTGTCATCTGAGACTATTCTGCCAGTTACTTGAGTCTTCTTATATTTTTATATTTTGTTATATAAATTTATTCCAAATAGTCTCAACTCAAATCAATTTAAATTCTTTGTAATTTTATTTCTGAATTGTTGTAAGTTTTTTTGGGCTGTATGACCATGTTCCAGAAGCATTCTCTCCTGATGTTTCGCCTGCATCTATGGCAGGCACCCTCAGAGGTTGTGTGGTATCTTTGACAATTTATTTCTGAACTTCCTAACAATTTATTTTGCTCTCGCTCCCTTTGATCCTTTTTAAAAGAATATATATTAGACTTTGTTTTTCTGCTTTCCATATTGATCTAGAAGAGTTTTTAAAATATGCACACAGAATGGAAGAGGAACACAGAAGAAAATATAACATTGAGAATGTTGAAGTTTAAAAGACACATACGGTTGGCCATCTCTATCAATGAATTCTGCATCCATGGAGTCAGCCATCCACAGCTTGAAAATATTTTTTTAAATCTCCAAAAAGCAAACCTTTATTTTGCCATTTTATATAAGGGAGCCCATTTTATTACTACTATACTACAGTATATAAAGGGACTTGAGCATGCATTAATTTTGGTATCTTTGTGCATCCTGGAACCAATGTGTTTTAAAATGTCTTTTAAAATCACTTCTGCCATTTCATATCATTAAGCATGTGCACCTAATTTGTTGTTTCTCTCTCTATTTATGTTAAGTTGGGCATTCTTCACTGATCACTCTCTCCCTTGCTTTCACAGAGTTTTGTTCTGACACAGTATCCATAGCTGATGTTTCACATTGTGAATCCATTGAAGAAACTCCACTCCCACCTCCTTCTCACTCATTTTCTACAGTTTTTGATGAGGACAAGCCCATTGCTAGCAGTGGGACCTACAACTTAGACTTTGATAGCATTGAGGTGGTAGATACTTCACAAGCTGGGGATCCTAGCTCTCTGGACATAAGAAACCGTGACTCCAAGTCTCACATCAGAAGAAAATCCACAGATTCCGTTCCAATTTCTAGATCTACTTTGTCTCGATCCCTTAGCTTGCAAGCTGGTGATTTTGATGGAGCAGCTTTCCTTGGTAATAACGAGGCAGCAGGTTTAGCAACAGAAACATTCAGTACTGGTTCAAGCAGTGCCTCCAGCACTCTTAAGCGCACAAAGAAATCAAGGCCAGGTTCTTTAAAGAAAAAACCGTTAGCAAAAAAATCTCTGGAAGTTCCTCCTGTCCAAGAGCCAGAACCATCTGATATCAAGCAAGATTCTCCTGCCCTGAATGAAGAAAAAGAGAGGTTGGAACCCAGTGAAACTCAGTGCACAGAGTCCTCCCAAAGTGCCACTGAAAATCAGGAGACCCCTGCTCTACCAACAGCAGCCTATCCATTTGACCCTAGCAACTTAGAAGAGATAAGTGCATCTGGTGCTGGAAGTAAAAAGGTGCAGAACTCTCCCCCGTCCAGCAAGAAAGTCCCCCCTCTTACAACGCCACCCGAAGCCGTGGAGGTAGCTCCTTCAGACACTGGGGGACCTGAAGATCCTCCAGTAAAAGCCGTGAGGCTGGAATTTGATTATTCTGAGGAAAAAGGAAGTGGCGGAGAGCAGCAAGAAAGCCCTCCCCTGCCCAAAAAAGTGGGCAAAAAGCCTGGTGCCAAAATGCCACTCAGGAGGCCAAAGACTAAAAAGACTGGGGAGAAGCTTGACAACGTTACCCCCACCAAGGCCCCTCCTGACCCCAGTGAGATCTCTGTTTCCAAAGGCTCTTACACTTTTGATATTGACAAATGGGATGACCCCAACTTCAACCCATTTTCTCCCACTTGCAAAGTGCAAGATTCTCCTAAACTGCCTCAGCAAATGACAGCAGCCTACACTTTCGATCCGGACATGTGTGAGGACTCAATTGACCCTTTCAAATCTTCCTCAAAGGTAGCCAGCTCTCCCACCAAATCTCCAGCGTCCTTTGAGATACCAGCGAATGCCAATGAGATCAATGGGACAGAAGGAGATGGCCTTAGCAAACCTGCAAAAAAGAAGAAGACGCCTCTCAAGACGTAAGTTAACATGTTGAAAATGTGTGCACACTTTCATATCTTCATATTTAGGCGGACTTGTAATTATGTTACAAGGCAGGATACAATTTTGTTTTATTGTGTCCTTTTCCGAAAGCTTTTGGGAAGTTAGAAGCATCATTTTTCTTCTCTCGTTCTTTTTTACTAGCTATTTGTTTGAGCTTTGAGATCTCCTTGAAATTCAACTACCCCCTTTTCAGCATCTAGAAGACAGGCTTCCATTTAGTCATGTGTAATATGTTTCTAACACTTCAGAGGTTAGCTACTTAGAGGTATGCTGTGTCTGCATTAGTTTAGTGTTTCCCAAACTTTGAACTTCTAGATGTTTGGACTTCAGCTCCCAGAATTCCTGACCATTGGCCAAGTTGGCTACGGTTCTGGGAGTTGAAGTCTAAACATCTGGAAGACCAAAATTTGGGAACCCCCGGTTTAGTTTGATGGTGAGTAGCACTCTGACTCACCATTTAAAAGATAGTCTTCTTGAACTTAAGAAACTCCACTGACCCAAAATGTGTAACATTCCATAATAATGAGTATTTTTAATACACACACACATACTTAGGTAGCCTATCTGTGGAAGTATATGTGATACAGCTAATTGATTCAGGGAATTCAGCCAAAAAAGAATTCTTTTTAGGATTAGGGGCTAATCTGCAAAGCCTTAGTCATGCGAACAAAGTTTGTGCAGAATGTTACACAAATGGAGCTGTTCACATCATCAGAATTCGATCTTTCTCTAGTCCGGAATAGTTCTGGTCCATTTCAGTGGCTCACATCTTGTCTGAGATGTATCATTTAACTAAGAAGCCACAGATGTTATTGAAGTAAGTTTACCTTTGTTTTGTTGGTTCATGCCTTATTTAAGTAGAACTGTTCATGAATGAGTGGCAAGGGAAATTGTTGCCTGGAGGTTTCACTTAAATTGGAATACGTGTGATGCCAATGGGCATTTTAACTTTGTAGATACAATATGACATGTATAGGTGTAAGATGCAATACTATATAAGTAGAATTTTAAAAATTAAATTTTTGATATGGTTTTTTGTAACATAAAATCCTATTGGTTACTTTTAGTTAGAGGAGATCCATTGGCTCAGTTGTTGAATGCTGACTCAACTTGGCCAGAAATCCTATTGATTCGGTGTGTTTACTCTAGTTGGAACTAACACTATGGATTTTTTTCTATAGAAGAAATGCTATTTTGCATTTCACATGAATAGAGATGTACCTGATGTTTGGTTAGAAGATGGCACTAATGGCATATTTCTGTTTTTTCCCCTCTATTAATAGAAAGCCTACTATTTTGTAAGTTGATTTCCTATAGGAGGAATCAGAAGAGATTTTGTGAGAGGTAGTTTCACACTGAACCAAAATATTTTTTACTCATACTTTCTAGTTTCAGAGGGAGGAATTAAATTCTGGCTGAGTGGTAATCCTATAATTATTTGTTATGACATTACCAAGCGTTCATCTTTGCAGCATTCAGCTTCCTCCTAACTCCCAAGCAAAGCTCCTTGATATTTGGGGTTTGTGTGTGATTTATTTGAAAACACAGGATTATTGGGGGGGTTTTTTCTATGTATCTCTCTCTTTGAGTTCTTACAGTGGATTCTCTATGTTTTGAAAAATACACATTTGACAAAAGCAAATTGAAGTTTTAAACACAGCATACACATTGGCTATGTTTGCACTCATATATAATGATAAACCTGAGATTCAGAGAAATGTAGCTTTTTGATCACAAGCAAGATCTTTAAGTAAATTCCCCACCTGCTCCTATTTAGTTGATCCTCTTTGCATAAGTACCCAAGTAACCAGAAATTAGCCAGGAGGGCAAAGCTCAGTGTTCCAGCTAGACTGGAACTCCGGGATTTTTCCTCTCTAGCAAACCAGGAAATGTAATCCCTAGTTTCAGATTTTCATTGTTTCAGGAATGCTACTTTGGAGTTGACACTAAGCTTTTACTCTTTGGTTAGTTTCTGGTTATTTCAGTTACTACTGCTGGCAACAGGAGCCAAACTGAAAAAACTAAAACAACATTCATAACAATTATGCTTATGAAAAGTGAACCAGGGCCATCACAACAAATGTAAATAAAAAGGCTTAATAACAAGAGTACTTCAAGTAGAATAGCAAACACAGTACTGCAAAGTTAAATGTTCACTTGTGGAACTGTTTTCCTATGACTAATGGGGTCTTTCATGCAGACTTTAACCTAATCCATTCTGGGACTTTTTCACATTGCACAGCTATAGCATGATGATTCCACTTCCAATGTAAAAATTCTATAGAATACTGGGATTTGTAGTTTGGTTGTTTTTTGTTTTGTTTTTTTGTCATGTCAGGAGCGAATTGAGAAACTGCAAGTCGCTTCTGGTGTGAGAGAATTGGCCATCTGCAAGGACGTTGCCCAGGGGACGCCCGGATGTTTTGATGTTTTAACATCCTTGTGGGAGGCTTCTCTCATGTCCCCGCATGGGGAGCTGGAGCTGATAGAGAGAGCTCATCCGCGCTCTCCCCGGATTTGAACCTGCGACCTGTCGGTCTTCAGTCCTGCTGACACAGGGCTTTAACCCATTGCACCACTGGGGGCTCCTTGTAGTTTGGTGACATAACAGAGATCTCTGGCAGAGAATTTTAATTCCTCCCCCCCCCCCAACTGTACTTTCAAAGTGGTGCCACATTCTCTGTATTTCCTCTCCAATGTGTGGGGAGTGAATATGACCAGTGAAAAACCAAACAATAAAACCCTATACTATTGTGAGAAACAGTATAGATTTGTGTTTGATTATTTTCAGTTATCTAAAATAATCTCCAACAACTTTAGAACAGGGTTGCTGTGAGTTTTCTGGGCTGTATGGCCATGTTCCAGAAGCATTTTCTCCAAACGTTTCACTCACATCTATGGCAGACACCCTCAGAGGTTGTTAGGTTTGTTGGAAACTAGGTAAGTGAGGTTATATATCTATGGAATATCCAGGGTGGGAGAAAGAACTCTTGTCTGCTTGAGGCAAGTGTGAATGTTTAATCAAGACAATAGTAGTTATTGTCTACACATGAACAAGTTCATGTGTGGATAAATGGGCAGGTTATAAAGACATGTAAGAGGCTACTAGCCATTGGAAAACATATGCTTCCATAAATAAATATTTAATTTCTCAATACCAGGTGTGTGTTTTCTTCTACTTGAGGTGCTCTCACTTAAAAAAAACCCCAGTAACACTCCTTATAATTAACATGCAACTTCTCAGACAGCTTACATGGTTCTCAGAATTAAAATTGCATCATCTCTTGAAATGATTTATTGTTGACCTTGCTGAAGTGGTGAGGTAAGATATGCATTTCATTATTTAATGAGGCAAAAGTAGTCTATATTTTCCAATTGTGGGGTATTCTCTTTTGGGGAGCCATGTGGTATAAGCCCATTTAAAACTTATTTACTTCTTCCATTTATATTTTACTTTTCTTCCATCACTGAATGCAACGTCTTTTTGAGATTATATCTGCACCTGTTCAGCTTTAACATACATGCTTCCTCTTGTGTCTTCAGACTTTGTTGCATTACTATTTTAGATAATTTTTCCCTATTTGTATCATCTTGGAATTTGAAGGGAATGTACTATATATCCCAGTCACTACAATTTGTCTCTTTTCTCCAAATTGACAGCTTTTTTCTTATTGGGAGATTGTTCCAAGGTTTTTATTGTTCGATAAATATATTCACATGAGCCTGATGGTTAGCTTTATGTCAAACATAAAGTATCTCAGCTACCCTAGCTACTAAAATGACAGTTATTTTAGTTCTATGTCTTGGCAAGTTGTTTGATGGCAGGAAAGTGATTCAAAAGACATACCTTTCATTGTAGAAGTTTTGTAGTTTTTAACTGCTGTCAAGTCGAGTTTAACTTATGACGACCCTATGAATGGAAGATCTCAAAGTCACACTGTTCTCAACAGCCATGTTTAGATTCATGGCCATGGCTTCCTTAGTTGAATATATCTTTCTTTAATGTGGTCTTCCTCTTTCCAAACTACCTTCAACCTTATCAACCATTGTATTTTCTAGTGAGTCACATCTTCTCCTGATATGGCCAAAATATGACAGTATCAGTTTAGACATCTTGGCTTCAGGTTTCATTTGCTCTACGGCCCATTTATTTGCATTTTTAGAAGTCCACAGTATTTATTTATTTACCTTATTTATCTCCCACCTTTCTCTACCCTGAGGGGGGCTCAAGAAGGCTTACAATTGCACCTCCGTGGTACCTTAAAACATATGTTACATCAGTTACAACATAAGTTAAACATTAAAACATAATAAGCATAGTAAAAATACATTTCAATCATCCAGAGTCATAGTCTAAAGGCCAATACATGGTCAAATCCATCATATTCCATGCTAACATTCCTGTACTGTTCTATTTTTCAAATGCCTGCTCCTGGCGCCAGGTTTTGACTCTCTTTCTAAACATTAATAGCGAGGGGGCTGTCCTGATATCGCTAGGGAGGGAATTCCACAGCTGAGGGGCCACTACTGAGAAAGCCCTGCCTCTCATCCCCACCAACCGTGCTTGCAAAGAGAGCAGGGCCTCCCCAGACAATCTTAATCTCTGGGGGCAATATGTTCTGACAGGCAGGCTGGGCTGGAACCATTTAGGGCTTTATAGGCTAAAGACAGCACTTTGAATTGTGCTCAGTAGCAGATTGGCAGCCGGTGGAGCTGACACGACAGGGGGATGGTATGCTCCCTGTATGCCACTCCAGTGAGCAGCCTGGCTGCCAGCCATTGGACCAATTGTAGCTTCCGAGCAGTCTACAAAGGCAACTCCACATAGAGCATGTTGCAGTAATCTATACGGGATGTAACCAGAGCATGGACCACAGTGGCCAAGTCAGACTTCCCAAGGTACAGGTGCAGCTGGCACACAAGTTTTAATTGGGCAAAAGCTCCGCTGGCCACAACTGAGACCTGGGTTCCAGACTCAGCAATGAGTCCAGGATCACTTCCAAACTGCAAACCTGTGCCTTCACAGGGAGTGTAACCCCATCCAGCAAAGGCTGAAACCCTATACCCTGTTCAGCCTTTCGACTGACCAGGAGGACCTCTGTCTTGTCTGGATTCAATTTCAATTTGTTCGCTCTCATCCAGACCATCACAGCTGCCAAGCACCAGTTCAGGACCTGAATAGCCTCCTTAGTAGCAGATGGGAAGGAGTGATAGAGTCGAACGTCATCTGCGTACAGGTGACATCGAACTCCAAAACAGTATCCGTAGAACTCTTCTTCAGTATCACATTTCAACTGAACTGTTTCTCTTCCTATCAACTTTCTTCACTGTCCAACTTTTACAACGATACATAGGATTTGGAAGTACTGTACAATGGTATGGACAATCCTAACATTACCATGCAATGCTATATCTTTTGGCTTGAATTCAATTGTGTAACCATAGGAGTATTTGTAGTTGCTGTATCCCAGTAACCCATTGGGTGCCCTTTGGCCTGGGAGTTTCATTTTCTGACTCTATTTTCTTTCAGTTGGGGTTGAGTTTTATTGGTAAAAAATCTTCAAAAGGAGATTTATGTGCCTTCTTCTGCACATTGCAAACAAGTGTTAGCTATGGTGTCATTGACATTGTTTCCGAGAGATACTCTACCAGTATCACTCCAACCCAGTATCTGTTTGTCACATCCAGTCTCCCTTCTCCCTGCCATAACTACACCCCTGAGTGGTGGGACCAGTGAATGACATCCTTAAGCAGAAAAATGCCCCAGTGAAGATGTTCAGTCACTAAGAGGTGCACCCAGATTGATTGAAAGTCCTAGTTCAGAGTTGCCAACCTTATTTTCACCGAGGGCCACATCAGCCTTATGGCTGCTTTCAATCACATTTGCAATCATAAGACTGTATATATGTAGCTACTCCTTAACATATTGTTAAATAACCCGAGACACCATATCACACACCATCCTCATCCATTAATCATGTTCTGAATGAAATGCAAGCACAGCCATTCAAATATATTCAGGTTTTCAAAAATGCTTACGTTTTACCATAGTCAGTGTGTTTATGCCTCGTGGTCCACATAAAATCATGTGGCGAACCGGATTCGGCCTGTAAACCTTAAGTTTGTTGCTTGTGTCCTAGATTTTGTATCTGTTCTTTTCAGTTTTATACTAGATTAGAATAAACCAAGTTGCATAAAAAGTCTCCGATTATCCTAGGCACTGACAGAAAACTTATATGGATCTCTGAAACAATATTGGGAAAAATAGGAACAGAATCTGGAAATTTCTGATCTTTTAAACTGTGTAAAGTGTAGATTGGCCAAGAATCAATCACAACAAAATGTCACAGTTTTTCTCTCTGCTCCTTAAAACACAGCTCTTTCTAATTTCTTTGCGTGCACTTAGGCATTGTGTGCTTTAATCACCTAAGCCACTCAAGATAAGAAAGCAGATGGCTACTATCATGGAAAGGTAATCCACTGATAGTATTTAAACTGGTGGAGATAGATATCAGCTTTGAAAAGTAGCTTTCATAGAAGAAGAAAGCAGACCAATTTGGTGGAGAAAAAAAATAGGTTAATTTTTTTATCCTGTAAATATCTATGATTTTTCCCCTATGTCCCTAATTAAAACAGTAGAAACCAACAGGCCAGATTTCCCTGATTGGATCTAAGTGTTTAACAATGTGCTTCAGTACAGTTACTTTCAGTGGTACATTGGAGGGTCTGACTTCCTCAGGACATGGATTTCCTAAAGGAGCAACTATACATGGTGATGTTTTGCTAACACAATTAATGGAGTGTCTCCTTTGTATCAGTCAGTGCCTTCTGTCTGTCTCTTTCTCTTTCTCTCTCTTTTGTCTTACTTGTCTTAGGATGGTTGAAGATGTGATGTCTGTATGTTCTCTGTTGTAAGTAATTTTAAACTCAAAACATGCTTGTTATGAACAAAAATCCCTTCTACCTTCCTGCTCCCCATCCCCAGTTTTGCCAGTTTCCTCCAACATTGGTGAGCATGGTGCTTTGTATATCTGCAAAGCTGTGGTATTAGCTTTATGACAAAGTTAATATATGGTGGGAAATTGCATGTTCATGGATCTGCTTGGTTAAAACTATTATTTCTGTTCACTACAACTATATTTTATTTTCCAATTTCATGTATCCACTTTAAGCATGAATATGGTATATTATTTGTTACAAAGTCAACAGATCACTAGTAGGCTTCCTTTACCCCACAAAAAGGGATTGAAAAGTGATGTCCACTTACTCTTACATTCCTCTTCCTCTTCCTGACCCCACTGATAAGCCCCTACTGTAGCATATCTTGATCCTAGGAGCCAAGGCAAGGAACCATGGCATTGCACCATCCAGGTTGGCTACTCCATTTCTGTTACATTGAGAAACACACAGAGACACTTTTAAGGGTGGAAAACTATCTTCTTTCTTTACATGAAATTGATGTGGTGTACATAAGCAGTATGTAGCTGACCAGTGTGTTAGTCCTTGTATGTCATTAACTCGGCAAGAACTTGATCTCTTCTACGTATACTTTAGTATTTTCTGTTGTATTTGTCTTGCTAGTTACTATCTCTTTTGTGTTGAGGACTTGGAAATATCTATACTCAGACAGTGGTGTTAGGTTTGGAAGCTAATCTATAACTATTCACTAGTTTCACTTTTTTCTTTTACCATTGTGAACTCTGGCCTTAAGCCCTGTATCTTTGATTTCACTCAAAGGATTAGCTTCTAGTGGAATATAGGGGCTGCAGTGTACCTTTTTGGATTACAGCTTCCTTAATCTTCCCAAATGACATTATGGAAGTTGTAATCTTAAAAAGTAATTTTTCCAAGTGCTGGGTTCTCAAAGCTTGTGAGGGCTTTTCAACTTTTGAAATGGAAAATTATCTGAGCACCAGTGCAAATTGGTTACTCAGTAGACTGGAACTCCTCCTTCCATGCCTGTAGGTGCATACCTGTATCCTCTGTTTAAATTCTTTCTTCCCACCCCACAACAATGTATGAACATATGTATTCAGTTGCATGGTAGATGGGGAGGAGCTATCCTGTCTCCAAAAACAGTCTGGATATGAAGAAGAATCACACTCTAGTGCTCCACTGAAATATCTACAATCACCTGTAGAAGGGACAAAATGACCTCCTTGTGTTTTCTTATAGGCACATTATTCTTGTTGAAATGCCATATTTGGGACCCTGATCCTTGTTTCTGAAGCCTTTGGCAGCAGAACAATTTATTTCTGACTGGAAATAATGTGTTTTTCCATGAAGTTATAACAGATGTTTTATCTGTTTATAGACAGCCCTCGTTTTATGGATTTGATTATTCACAGATTTTATAAATGTGTTCTCTCTAGGGATCTCTAGGTTCACCAAGGTGACTTTGTGGTCATTTCCACCAGATGTGGAGCATAGGGTCTTATTAGAGGATCTAGAGACTACTAGAGAGTGTGGTTCACTTGCATTTTTTTAAAAAAAGATTATTTTATTTGTGGTTTTTGTACTTTCAGGGGGAATCGTGGACCCCAGCGAAAATGGAGAGCCTAGTGTATAATCATTTGTTCTTGATGGGGGTCATTCTGCTAGCTGTTAAATGGTTGCAGAAATAAATACCTGTATCTATTATACCAGCATGAGAGCTGGTCTTGGGTAGAGTTGAGATTATCTCAACCCTCTGTTGTGGCCAGATAGTGTGGTCTTCAACTGGGTAACTGTTTTGTACTCTTTCTTTCCATGTCTGTTCTGTGGAAGTTAAAGTGACCTGACCCTCAAGAATATTTTAAGACCAAAGCACACTTTGAGTATAAGAGCTTCACAGAGTCAATTTTCAAGAAAGGACAAATATGACTTTGCTGGCTAATATGAAGTGATAGATTAGATAACTGTAGCTGCTTTGTCCCTGGATTCTGTGTCACAAGATGTACACAGTGAGTTTTCTGTAGATATTATGCAAAATTAGGAAATTGTGAATCTGTTATTGAGGGTCTTTCTTCCCATTATTATGATCTGATGCAGAGCATCATTTGGATGTAATGTTGACTCATCTCCGGAACTGTATTATTTTTTTTCTACCTCAGTGTTGAAATGAACAAATCTGTTCCCCATTGATTGCACTGATTGCTGTTCCCTATGTTACAATCCCATTAGTTGTCTAACTTTATGTTTTGTGGTTGTTGTTGTTGTGGTTGTTGTTGCAATGACTCAGTCTGAAAGTGCATGATACAAAAGCAATAGTGATGGCATGCTCTTTCATGATGTTTATTATATTCTGAGCTCTCAGAGGGCGGAAAGCTTTCCGTAGTTACTTTTTTCGTTGCATCAGTGGGTCCCAAATGTCAGCCTTCCAAGTGTTTTAAACTCCCAGAAGTCCCAGCCACCTTGGCCAAAAGTCAGGAATTCTGGGAGCCAAAAATCCAAAATATCTGGAGGACTGGAGTTGGTGAACCACTGCTTATAGCTTTTTGCTTTCATATGCCCATTGTTTTCTATGGACTGCGTATTCATGGTGTCTTCTATTTCATTTTCAGTGATACTTTCAGGGTGAAAAAGTCACCAAAAAGATCTCCTCTGTCGGATGCACCCTCACAGGTAAAGTTCTTAAAAGCTTTTTGTTTTTTTCTCTTCCCACCCAATATTTGTCCAATGTATTGTCGAAGGCTTTCATGGCCAGAATGACTTTTACTGGAGCAATTAGTGTGCAAAACCTGCCAGCCAAGCTTTTAACTTTTCTTCAACTATAAGCAGGCATGAAAAAAGAAAATGAAATGAAAGTTATTCTGTAACAAGTCAGCTGGTGTTAATCTGGTAAACTTGAATGCAGAAAACATGACAGGAAAAAACCACGTAAACTTCAATGTGTTTTTAGGAAGAAGAGGTTAATTGGATTACAAATTGTCTTGCTTGGAGGAGTTATCAGGCTACACATCCCGCAAAGATGCCAACAACTTCATTTTAGCCATATATAAGTTCAGAAAGGAAATGTGGATAAGTTTTATTACAAAATATTTTTCCACTGGGCCCCCTGGTGAGCTGCTGAACTTGCTGACCAAAAGGTTGGCGGTTCAAATCCAGGGAGCTCCCTCTGTTAGCCCCAGCTTCTGCCAACCTAGCAATTCGATAACATGCAAATGTGAGTAGATCAATAGATAGTGCTCCGGCGGGAAGATAACAATGCTCCATGCAGTCATGCTGGCCACATGACCTTGGAGGTGTCTACAGACAACGCCAGCTCTTCTTCTTAGAAATGGAGATGAGCACCACCACCCGAGTTGGACATGACTAGACTTAATGTCAGGGGAAACTTTTACCTTTTATCTTTCCACTCTGGTGTGCGCATGTGCCTTTAAAACACCTGTCAGTTTATGGCCACCCTATGAATTTCAAGGAATTTGTTGAAGTGGTTTTGCTAAGTCCTCCCTTTGAAATAGAGCCTGCATCACCTGCCGTTTCTTGGTCTCTTATCCAAGTAAAATCCAGAGCCAATCCTGCTTAGTTTCTAGGACTGTAGGAATGGATGCCTTTAAGGTATTTAGGACCCTGGCAAATTAGGGAATAAGTCCCAAACCAAACTAATTGTCATTTTAAATTGGTAAACTATTCCATTTTCTATATAATGAACATTTTCAGAAGAAGTAATATAGAAGGAGGGAATAATGTAGCAACAAAACATAGTTGGGCAAATAACAACAAAAACAACATATCATCTCGCCACATATATCATTATCATTGCATTAATTAAGGCAATGCTTTATAGATGAAAGTTCCACTCATTTCTGTTAAGGACTGATTGAATCTTGAACAATTGTTTCTTTCTTTATTACACAACTGTTTATTTTGCTCTCAGGAGTCCACACCACTATCTACTTCTGAAACGTCTTCTGTTGTATCCACTGTGGTTCATGCAACAGATGAGGAGAAACTGGCATCGTCAGTGGGCAGCCAGAAATGGACTTGTATGACAGTGGATCTAGATTCTGATAAACAGGATTATCCTCAGCCATCGGACCTATCGACGTTTGTAAATGAAACAAAATTTAGTTCTCCCACAGAAGGTAAGCTGGGAGAAGAAGGTGGAATTGGTGTTGGGTTTTTTTCTCTCACATGGGGCAGTTGAAGTAAATGAGAACTCAAAATATATTCCTTGATTTCTTTTAACCCTCTACTGTATCTCAGATTATTTTATGTGCCTTTAAGGCATCTGGATTTATAGGTTTCCCCTTGACATTGAGTGTAGTTTAGTTGTTTCCGACTCTGGGGGGTGGTGCTCATCTCCATTTCTAAGCTGAAGAGCCAGCATTGTCTATAGACACCTCCAAGATCATGTGGCCAGCATGACTATATGGAGTGCCGTTACCTTCCTGCAGAAGCGGTACCTATTGATCTACTCACATTTGCGTGTTGGCAGGAGCTGCTAGGTTGGCAGGAGCTGAACTAACAGTGGGAGCTCACACCGCTACCTGGATTCAAACTGCCAACCTTTTGATCAGCAAGTTCAGCAACTCAGCAGTTAATCCACTGTGCCACCAGGAGGCCCTTTTTGTTGACTTATAGCAACCCCATAATAAATGCACAGAAGTAGTTTGCATTGCCTTCCTCTGAAATATAGTTTACAGCACTTAATATTTCTTGGTAGCCCTCCCTCTAAGTATCAACCTGGTCAAACAGTGTATTTAGATTAATTTTCTGCCTGATTTAAATTAAATGGAGTGCTGAAGTCAATGGTAAATTTACTTAAGTGAATTTAAATCAATTTGCCATTGACTTCATTGGTGATCATACATATATAAACCCCACCACCACTACCCCATATAGTCCTTTGTATCATTGTTGAAGCACTCGTGTTCTTTTAGCCCCAACATTGCATTAAATGGTTTTACAAGGTTCTTCTCTTGGTTGTAGGAATCTATTGTCAGAAAGATAATTTTAAAAGACTTTAAACATTACTATTCTGTTTTGTTTTGATTTGGGGAATTTTTGTGCCCTCTACTTTGTCACTCTTGTGTTGTCATTTCCTTCAAGTCATTTCCTATTTATGGCAACAGTATGGTACCTGTCATGGGTGTTTTCTTGGCAAGATTTGTTCAGAGAGAGTTTACCTTTGCTCTCCTTTGAGGCTGTTGTTATAATTATTTCACGCACAATCTGAACTCATCATAGACTGGCACCCAAACTGACTATAATACTAATTTGCCTGCCCCTTAGGTCTACTGGGTAACATGTGACTCAGATTACCTTTTAATTACAGCCGGTAATGTTTCCTCTGTTGAGATCATTTAAATATACTTTCCCTCCTGAGTCCTCTTTGTGCTACCTTGGGAAGTTTCGGAATAATTAAAGATTGTTTTCTGAAGCAGTCATCTGTGCCATTCTTGTCCATGCTTTGAACATCGTCCCGTTGCCGAAAACTATCTGACTGGGAAGATAAGGAAAATGACAATGGGTCAACAAAGGAATAGGAATTTGGTGCTTAAATCAGTTTCTAAGATAATTCATTGGAATTCTCCTTATCCTACTACTCAGCTTTTGAAACCTCTGAATCTCGAAGACGAAGGGTCGTAGCAAGTAATTGTAATGTCTTCTTGCTACATTTACAGGCAACAAAAAGCATTTAAAAGTGGCTGGAAAATACACTTTAGAGCTCATTTGCCATTTTAGTGGCCTTCCAGAAAGGCCCTATATTCCAGGATCTGATTCCAGGTTTTCTGTTTATCCCAGATTATCTGGCAGTGTGGACTCATATAATCCAGTTTAAAGCAGAAAATCTGGGTTCACCTCCTGGGATATATGGCCTGTCTAGAAGGGCCCTTAATCTTCCTTTTTAAGTTGTTTTTGGAATCATATCTGATTTCATTTTTTTTATTTTTATGATACATATGACATTGTTTTTATATTTCAGAGAAGTGCTTGTATATTTGGAATGATGTATTATGGTGTTTTGTGTTGTTTTTCAATTGAAAAATATTTTGCCAACTGTCTGAATTTTACTATTAGATTATCTCTGAATTTTACTGGGAGAGATTATATTGTCAGATCCTTAAAGCTTTAGTGACAGCTGCGTTGGCATCTAAGATTTCAGGAAACGTTTCATCTGGTGTGATGGAGGAGGTAAAGATTAAGTCAACTGGCACATTTTCTCACTGTCAAGCTATCATAATTAACACATTTATATGCGATTGCGGTAGAAAATGTCTTGGTGATAGAATGTGTGGAAGATTCAGACAAAGGGTGTGATTCAGAGCCTAAAATGCATGAGATGCCATTTCCTTTTATGAACATAAAAAGAGAGAACATTCAATGCCCGTGAAATTCCACGTGTGACTGGAGCTACTACATTGTAATCAATATTATCAGTGCTTCTGCTATAAAAGATGTTTTGCTGATAATGAAACCTTTAGGGGCTGAAGGATCTTGAACATTTCTTGTCCATTCTGTTATGAACCTGAGACAAACATATAATTTTACATCTGCTTTATTTGCATATTTAGAAGGCAGACTCACTGGAGTAGCTAGTGTGGATTAGAAGTTGAAATTATAAATTAATGTGATTTCTTGTATTTTGCTAATTATATTTCAATTACAGAGTTTAAACACCTTACATAAGGTCACAGAGTGCTTAAGTAAATGTTTCTTGGGAAAGGTAACACCAAGCCAGAAATTCCCCAGTACTGAGTGTGTGCATGTGTATCTAAAATTGTCAGGTGTTTAGATTTTTCATGTCAGGAGCAACTTGAGAAACTGCAAGTCACTTCTGCTGTGAGAGGATTGGCCGTCTGCAAAGACATTGCCCAGGGGACGCCAGATATTTGATCATTTACCATCCTTGTGGGGGGCTTCTCTCATATCCCCGCATGGGGAGCTGGAGCTGATAGAGAGAGCTCAACCCGCTCTCCCCAGACTCAAACGGCTGTCCTGTCAGTCAGCAGTCCTGCCGGCACAAGGGTTTACTCCATTGCGCCACTGGGGGCTCCTTACTAAGTGTATTAAAATGCACATATTGTGAAAAGTGTACAAACATACACTACATGTGGTTTTTAGAAATGAAATTGACACATTGATTTGAAAACAATATGATACTTTATTAGGAGGAGTTTAATTAGTTCAGCTGAAAATTTCCTCAGTGCACTTCTGACATGCACTGATGAGTTAGAATTGGTCTCAATTTTCTTCTTTCATATAATTTCAGAGATTACTGACAGAGCACTCTGCCAGCAGAGGAGCTCTGCTGAGTAGGATCTGCCAAAAAAATGGCCAGAATGACTCCATGTTTCATGATAGACTTATAAGCCTGGGAATGCCATCCTCCAAACACCTGAAAAGTAAAAGGATTTGAGTTGTAGGAGTCAAGCAGGGGATGCGTTGGAAGGACACTTTTCCATTGCAGCCTCTCGCAGCTACTACAGCCGATTTAAGAATTGTATGGGGGAGTGAGAGAAACAACTGAATGAACAGAAGGAAGTGTTTTAGATAATATTTGACCATTCTTCCACCTCATCCTCTTCTTCCTCGGTGTCAACCATGTCTCCATTCCCTTCTTTGCAGCCATTAGTGACCAGCTGGTTTCACCTAGACCAATTCCCTATCATTTTATTCCATACTGTTTTGAAGTTGTAGGATTTACATATTACAATTTATTGTATTTTACTGCAATTTCCAGATTTCTTACCCAGTAGCTTCCTTTAGATGGTGAACACCACTTCGTGTTAAATCAATGTTCCTAAAGGTATCAGGTGTTGTAAGATAGGAGTGGGAATAGTCTGACCCTTTAGCACAGTGGTTCTCAACCTGTTGGTCCCCAGGTATTTTAGCCTACAACTCCCAGAAATCCCAACCAGTTTACCAACTGTGAGGATTTCTGGGAGTTGAAGGCCAAAATATCTGGGGATGCACAGGTTGAGAACCACTGCCTAGATGTTGGTCAATTTCAAATTCTAGCATGGCATACCATTGATCTAGGTCAGTGGTTCTCAACCTTCCTAATGCTGTGACTCCTTGATACAGTTTCTCATGTTGTGGTGATTCCCCAATCATAAAATTATTTTTGTTGCTACTTCATAACTGTAATTTTGCTACTGTTATGAATTGTAATTTAAATATCGGATAGGCAGGATGTATTTTCATTCACTGGACAAAATTTGGCACAAAACCCCAATATACCTAATTTTGAATACCGATGGGGCTGGGGGGGGGGGTTGATTTTTGACATTTGGGAGTTGTCGTTTCTGAAATTTATAGTTAACCTAAAATCAAAGAGCATTCTGAACTCCACCAATGATGGAATTAAATCAAACTTGGCACACAGAATTCCCATGAACAACAAAAAATACTGGAAGGGTTTGGTGGGCATTGATCTTGAGTTTTGGAGTTGTAGTTCACCTACATCCAGAGAGCACTGTGGACTCAAACAGTGCTAGATCTATACTAAACTTGGCACAAATACTCAATCTACCCAAATGTAAACACTGCTGAAGTTTGGGGAAATAGTCCTTGACATTTGGAAGTTGTAGTTGTTGGGATTTATAGTTCACCTACAATCAAAGAACATTCTGAACCCACCAATGATAGAATAGGCCAGACGTTCCACACAGAACCCCCATGACCAACAGAAAATACTGTGTTTTTTGATGGTCTTTGATGATCCCTCTGACACCCCCCTCGCGACACCCCCAGGAGTCCAGACTCCCAGGTTGAGAAACGCTGATCTAGAACTTCTGAGAGTTGCTGTCTAGCAACTCTCAATTCCCACCTCTGTTCTTTGAGCCGTTTTCTCAAGTACACAGTACTCATGCCATCTTTCAGTCCCTAATAGCTTTCCCTCATTTCAATGAGCCAATTGTCATAGCAAAATCAAAACAAATGCTGGCTAAGATTGAATCTTTGTCCATTCATAAGTGAAAATAGCCTTCATTATCAAGTAATGAATAGCCTTAAGACAAGTCTAATCGTTTTGTTACTATAATTCAGTAGAATATTTTTGTCCTTTCTCATTTTGTTCACTAGTGAATATGTGAGGAAATGTGGCTTGCCACACATCAGATTTGATATATTACACCTATTAATTTTTTTGAACAAACAGGAAGCTTTCTCTTATGCAGGCCCATGCTTTACATTGTAATTAAGGACAGCCAGGTCTGTTTTAAGTTCTTTTGGCATGAGAGTCTTCATAATCTATCATTTCAGTCACTTCAGGAGAGAATAAATAATGGGATTACAGTCCCAAGATAAAAGCTCCATAGTTTTATGAGAATGACACAATGTGAATGCTCATCAGCTTGTAAATATGACTTTCCTTTTAGGCATACAGAGTTGCAAGTTCAGTCAAGCGGACATGAATGTTCTTTTAATGGTGTAAAGAGGAGGGAAGAGCATTTTTAATACAAGGCTGGCCGGGAGGGGAAACTCAGTTTTCAGTCATTTTGGGAAAAGGTGATGGAAAAGAGGAAGGAGAACATGAAACTCAACAAAATGAATGCCTTAGACAAAAGTGCTTGTATTGATATGTAAACAAAGATCAGTATCCATCATATTTGGAATGATAGAGCTTTGGTTTTTGGGATTCATTAAGAAAGTCTTATATGCAAAGCTTCTGGGTTTGTGTATTGTTTTGAAGAATGTCTTCCAATGCACTGAGCACACTTTGCTGTATATTACAGATCTGGAATATGGCAACCCGTATGAAATAGAATATATGGAGAAAATAGGCTCCTCCATTCCTGTAAGTTTCTGTTTGTAGATTTCTGATTAATCCTTCTGAAATATAATATTGACACAGTGGCCACAATCCAGTGGTTTATTTTAAATTTAATAACCCAATATGACCTGCAATTGGTTTGATATAATTTATTTCCTGATATTCTGCTTTAATCATGTCATTGCTTTCCCTTGGTGGCATGGAGGGGGGTCTTTGTTCCAGGGATAGGTGCATGGTAATCTTTTCTTTTCTTGTCCTTTCTTTTGACAGCAGGATGACGATGCTCAAACAAAACAGTCTTTGTACCTTATGTTCGACGCACAGCAGGAGAGTCCAGTCAAGTCTCCTCCAGTTCGGATATCTGATTCCACGACTCCTTGTTCTGGGTATTTTGCTTCTTTGTTTTTTTTTAAAAAAAATCAAAGAATAATTATTTCTAAATGATTGGGCAGTAATCACAATTATAAATGGAAGCATTTCTTTTCTTTCTCTCATTCAACTGCATTCGAGGGGAGTAAATGCAATCTATATAATCATGCACATAATGTGGTTGACTCTATTGTGCATTGTTATAAATTATATTGAAAAAGCTAATTTCCATATAGGAGGAAAATAAGAGCACATGGGCTGTCAGTATGTAGCCTTTGAGTGTAACCAGAGGTTTCATTTTGTCAGGATTCAACTTCAGTCTGTTAATTCTCATCTGCCTCATACCTACATCTTGACAGTTTGGTTCATAGGATGCAAATATTAAGATATTCAGATATTAAGAGAATTTGCAAGAAACAATTCTGTCTTCCTGGTGTCTGCTGGGTTTTTTTTTTTTTTTTGGAAAGTATAGTCATCCCTCCACATTTGGAGGTTTAATTTTTATATCCATAAAAATTAAAATTAAATCCATAAATTTGAGTATTCATGGATTTTATTAATATGCTATCTCGAGGCATCTTAGGTCCTCCACCACAACACAAGGATGAATTTCACTCAGAAGTTGATGGTGGCGGACTTAGTGATTCCTAGGGAGGCATTCTCTCAGATTTGGGAAAGTCCTACATGCCTAATCCCAATAAAAGTGGCGGACCTACTATAATAATGCCATTTTCCCGACCCATATCATACTCTGTTCAAATATTGTCTTTGTAGTATGGAACCAAACAACCTTTGTCTAGAATATTTTTCTTCTTTTTTAATTTTAAAGCAGTAACCATCATAACCATTATAAATGCATTGTTTGCTATCAGATCAGTATAACATTATTACCTGTTCATAATTAGATGGTGATGTATTAATTGATTTCTGTTTATCAAGTTCTTAAAGGTTAGAATCTGATGTTATGCAAACATATATGCAAAGTTGTAGGTGGTGTTGTCAGTTTGGCAATCAATTTAGTAGCAAACTATAGGGTCCCATGGAAAGTTCACTTCCTTATATCTTACTGCAGGTCCAGCTTGGAAGAAACGGAAACTCAGTTGCCCTCTGGAATGAAACTACAACATCCAGCTTCACGATCTCTAGTTGCTCCCCAAGAGTCATCAATACAGCCTTCTGAAAAGTCCAAACCAAAAGAACTGGAGCCCATGACTTTAGGAACCCCTTCAAACAACATTGACATAGTAAGATCTTCTTTCAGAAAATTCTGTTTTGGACAACTAACCTGGGTGAAAAGTCACTGCCTTCTAGAATTAAAGTAGTGAATCCGTTTAAAGTAAAGTAGGAATCATGAAACCCTCCTGCAAAAGTTGTTGAATTGCAATTTCTAGCAATATTGGCTGTGGCAGCTGGGATTTGTAGTCCAAACAACATCCAGGTTGCTATTTGGTTCTCACTCTTGCTTTAATGGGTTATAATATAATATCGTTATATTGATCAATAGCCATAATCGGTATTATGTTTTTCCTTTTAAACTTTCAGCTTCCTATTACCCTCTTTTCTTCCCATTGTTATGAAAATACTGTTTACTGCAGATTTAGTTGGTACTTCGCTATGAAGTGAACATATATTTACAGAGACTGCTGAATGGTTTTAATGCTGGACTGTTGTGCAAGATTTTGTCACTTGTTCTGTATCCTCCTTGCTCTTCAGACCACCCCTGAGGACCCCTCTGTCTCTGCTGATGCTCTTCTCAGTAGGATATCTCATCCACCTTCAATGTGTGATCAGCTTCAGTATCTAGAACCTGACTTAGCAGAAAAGAATCCCCCAATATTTGCTCAGAAACTTCAGGTTTGTAATGAAAGAGTCTGTTGGTGTTCCTTGGCTCAGTGTTTGTACACACCAGTAAAACATGAAGAGTCAGGCTTGTGTAATGCAACATTCCCCACATTCCCATTCCCCAAGTCTACCATGAATGTAACACAGCCATATTTTAATTAATGAATCAATCAGTCAGTCAGTTCCCTGATTTTCTTAAGCTTGATTTTCAGTTTTTGATACATGGCTGATTCATATTCACGCCCTCATTCTTTCTCTCTCTCTCACACACACTTGTATGTCCACATCTTTTCAAACCTATCATGTGAACTAGATATATCCATTGATGGCCATTCATACTATACCAAAATTCATATGGTGTCTCCATCCATAGTTGTAGCAGATATATTGTGCATACTGTGTATATATGTATAGTCTATATTATATGTTAATGAATACAGATAATGTAGGGAAGACAACATTTCTGTGCCTCTGTGTGACAGTTCATTGGAAACTGATCCTAGGTACAATGGTAGCTATTCTATTGGTGAGGGAAATTCTTAGTGTACATAGTTGGAAATCCAGCTTCTGAGTAAACGTGTAACACATTTCATTTGCCCAATTGAATCAGTGAAAAAGTAGATCTAATAAAGCACTGAATCAGATGGATTTATATAGTTTAAGATATTTTTTCATCCCATAGGCATGATGCTTATTTACCTATTTCAAGGAGCTAGGTAGAAGTGAAAAATAAAATAAGATGTAATGAATGAGAAAGAATTGAACCATTTTTTAAAAATACAGATGGGACATCATTTATTCAGGATTCCAAAATTCTCCCCATGGGTGGCTGAGAGAGTGACAGTTTTGCTTTAGGATGGTTCAGTGTAGACACACTTTGTTTCATGCATAAGATTATTAAAATATTGTATATAAAACCACTTTCAAGCTATGGTTAGAAGGTGTATATGAAACATATTTGGCCTTAGATCCCATCTCCAAGATATCACATTATGGGTGTATAAATATTCAAAAATCCAAAAATGAATCCAAAACTCCTCAATTGCCAAGCATTTTGGATAAGGGATACTCAACCATGTCATGGTTTTGTTTCATCATATTTCTCAAACGCTAGTTTTTAAAAGCACACACAATTGAGGGTCCCTCACCCACCTTCTAAAAATAACTGGCTCACATGCTACTCAACATTTAATGTATAGATTATAGCTATGACTTCAATTTTTCTGTAATTAATACAGTTGTGTAACCAAATTATAAAAAAATATCCATTCCTGGTTTGAAAGTGTTATTTCCTGTTTAATTATGTGGTACTTACTTTGGAAGTAGTTGTTCTACTCCAGAAACTTTGTTTTTGTGGCTGACACAAACTATGTTAAATTGGGTTGTGAGTTTTCCAGGCTGTATGTCCATGTTCAAGAAGCATTGTCTCCTGACATTTCGCCCACATCTATGGCAGGCATCCTCAGAGGATGTGAGGTCTCACAACCTCTGAGGATGCCTGCCATAGATGTGGGCGAAACGTCAGGAGAGAATGGTTCTGGAACATGACCATATAGCCCGGAAAACTCACAACAACCCAGTGTTTCCAGCCATGAAAGCCTTCAACACCACAAATGTTGAATTGTTGTCACTTTATGAGACATTCACTGAAAAACTATAGTATAATGTACTGCAGGATGTACCTCAAAAACAAAGTTTCTGCAGTTTAATAAACCTTTCCCGTGTTTTCATGATAGAACCAATTAGGAAATGACATTTATAACCCAATAAAAAGTTATGTTACATAGTGTAATAGCCCTAGCAGGGGCAGAGAAGTGTATTTCTTTTCTCCTCCGCTGTAGGTCCTCCAAACTACTTCCCCTTTCCAGCACTCTGCTTGGAATATAAAGGGGTCAGGGAATCCAAGTAACAATAATAGTAGTCCCCCTTACCCAAAGCTCCAAACCATGAGGGGGAGAGGGAGTTTAAATACATTATGGATAGGAAAAGTAGGGATATTCATAATAATTCTTCCACCTTACCCAAAAATCTCAGATCACAGAAAAGTGGGAGTGCGGGTGCATGTAGTTTGTCCCTTAATCCTCCAAGGAATGCTATATCAACATAAGAGTGTGTTGTCCCAAAATACTGGTCATAATAGATTCATTCTGTGAATGTAGGCTTTCTTTTTAACACCTTGTTTTTTAATGAGTTTTCCCTGTGCATTGCTCACAACCACCAACCATTCCACTGACAGGAGGAGTTAGAGTTTGCCGCAATGAGGATAGAAGCCCTGAAGTTAGCCAGACAAATTACCCTGTCTTCTTTCAGCTCCTTAGATACTGAGGTATCTCTTCTGTGCCTGCAGTGTGTGTTTGATTGATCACTGCTTAAGGAATCCAAATGCTGCTTTTCTCTTTAACAGCAAGTTAACTGGAGTTTCTCTGAGTGGTGATGCTTGATGTTTTTGGCACCTTCGTATTTAGAAAGACCTCAAGAAGCATGCCAGGAATCTTCTTATACTCTCAAATGCTGTCACCATCACTTGCAGATATATTTCAGAAATTACTATCATATCTATTTGGTCAGAAGCACAGCTGTGGCTGTCAGTGTGTTGCTCAGCGCTGCTTTGCTTTTCACAAATTAATAGATTGCTTGATCAGTTAACTGGTATAATATTTCAGTGCAGATTATGTTTGAGAAATTTAGATGGGATAATAATTTGTACAATATGTACAAATGGTGACATTAAATGGAATGTCTAATATTTGGTAAATATTAAACATTATCATGGAAATATTGACAAACTCAGCAGACTTTGTGAATATCCAAATCTTGGAAGTACACTGAAGCATATTCACAATTACCTTGAGTGTATTTGTGTTAACTTCCGAATATCCAACAGTGGAGATTTAGATGTATGTAAAAGTCATCTGAAGTGGTTAGTAATAATTGGCAAATGACTCAAATCACCAAATTTTTGATATTCACTATAGCATGCTATTGTTTGAAAGTTATCAGAGATACAATACCTTTTTGGATAAAGCAAAGGAGACTATATTTTTGAGAGATGACAATTCTTAAATTGTAAGAATTCATTGGTTTGGATGCAGTTAGTGTAGGTCTTTTCATCAGACAAAGACTTCTGACTTAGCGGAATATTTCTATTGTTAGAAAAGTGAAAGCAGTCTTGGAGAATTTTCATTTCGCCTGGACTCCCCTATTTCTCTCAGAAATTTACACCAAAGTGACAGGCTGATCATTGCAAATTCACTCCTCTCCTTGCAATTCCCTTCATCTTTCCAAGAATTTATTTTGTGGGATGTGGGACCCTCAGAGAAGTGTGGAGGGTGGCACTGTGGACTGCTCTAGGTCCCGCTTCCGTTACAGGCATGTCTAGTAGGATGAGACAGGGCCTTCTCAGTGGTGGCCCCCTCAGGTATGGAACTCCCTCTCCAGTGACATTAGAGCAGCTCCCTCTCTCCTGACCTTCAGAAGGAAAGGGAAAACCTGGCTCTGGGTCAAGTCTTTGGAGATTAATCTATAGTGCAATAATAGCTTCAAAATATATGCAATTGATCTTTGGAGTGGCCCCGGATATGATTGAACATGGCATGATTTTAATAGTGAATGCAGTGTTTTATATGTTTTCATGTGCATTTAATTTAAATTTTTAACTTAAGTGTATTTTAACTGTTTGTTGTCCAAAGAAATTGAATAACTACCATATGTAAAGCCGCCTTGAGTCCCCTTTGGGGTAGAGAAAGACAGGATACAAATAGAATAAATAAATAATAAATACATAAATAAAAAGGAGAATCTGCAAAGTTCAGCCCTCCCTTTCCAGAAAGCCAGAGCATCATGAACAGAACTCATATAGATCTCCTTGCAGTGGTTGAAGAAAATCCACTGACTAATTATATGATGAGTAGCTATGATGCCATAGGCAGATTGTCTATAATCAAATCGAACCCTGAGGATGGCATGTTGGCCTAATTTAGAAAAGGAGGATTCTGTCTGAGACAGCGAATGCTGGATGGTTCAAATGTTGGACATCTGTTAGTTATCGACAAGGCTTGTTACTTGCAATAAGTCCGCCTGGGGAGACAGGGTGAAATACAAATACATTATTATTATTATTATTATTATTATTATTATTATTATTATTATTATTTGAAACATAACAAGATGAATCCACAACAGACACTCTGCTGGCTGTTGTATTGGATCACACGTCGGACACTTCCCAAGTGTCTAGGACTATGTGATGTATCGACGAATAATGCGAGCAGATCCCAGTAAGGTGGCCTTCTGCAGCTGGCAGGTGGCAATTTTGTTAGCACAGATTGTGTTTAAGTACAGGCCAAGGTCTTTAAGTACTGCACCCAGTGTGCCGATCACCACTGGGACCACCTTTACTGGCTTGTGACAGAGTCTTTGCTGTTCAATCTTTAAATCCCCATATCGTATCAGCTTTTCCAGTTGTTTCTCATCAGTCCTGATGTCACCTGGGATTACAACATCGACGATCCATACTTGGTTTTTAAACACGATTGTGAGGTCAGGAATATTGTATTCCAAAACTCAGTCTGTCTGAATTCGGAAGTCCCAGATTAGTTTGACATGTTCATTTTCTGTAACTTTTACAAGCTTGTGATCCCACCAGTTCTTTGTCGCAGGCAGATGATATTTGTGGCACAAGTTCAATGAATCATCTAAGCAACAGTGTTATGCCTCTGCTTGTAGTCTGTCTGCATGATCTTCTTGCAGCAGCTGAGGAAGTGGTCTATTATTATTATTATTATTATTATTATTATTATTATTATTATTAGTTGTATTTATTTATTATTTCTTTTTCAGCAAGTGTAGACACAAATTATATGTATTTTAATATAATACATCTGTGCATTACATTTTTCTTAACTCTTTGGGTGGAGTAATGTTGCATATACATTCAAGACAAACAGTTACACTCCACTGTCCTATCCATAACAACCAAAGCAATGAGCAATGCAACACATGTTTTTCCCTCCATGAAAAGGCAGTTTTAAAGAGTTGTTCTTTGGGGGGTTATAATGAACAATGGAAAAATTCTGTATTTTAAAAGTAACATTCCAGCCCCTTGCTACAGTGTGTGATGAGTTCTGTATGGATGAACATTTTGCTCTTTCAGCAATAGTTTTAAACATGACATCTAAACCAGTTTCACTGTAGGCATTAAAAGCTTAAATGTTCAATCAACCCACATCTCAAGCATCTAAGAGATAAGGATAAAACAATCTGGAGGGGAGAGGAAGCTGACGGAGCCCTCCCTGTACAAATGCCCTTTATTCTTTTGAGATCTAAAGTGTTTCCTTCCTGATACGCCTACAGCATGCTGGCTGTTGCCATGTTGGTGTGACGTTTCTCCTGTGATGCATGTGGTCTAAACTAGAGTGAGATGTTGGTCCTTAAGTGGTGTGTTTGATGTGTGCAGCTGTTCGAGAGGGTCCCGTGTGGTGATGTTAATGCAAAGGTCACAACTCATGGGGGTTTACTTGAGAAGGGGGTTGTGGTTTGGGGTTTGGTTGGGTTTCTTTGTTTAATGCTGATAACAACCAAACACAGCTGGTTGTAGTACTGGTGTTTTGAAACAAAAGAAACATTATCTTTCAAAGTGAGTGAATGCTACAAGAATGTACTTACATACTCAGATTAGTGAGCTGTGGATTCAAGCGAATTGTGATTTTGACCTGTCTTGAAAAACCATTACATTGCAGAACCATAATTGTTTTCTGAGCAGCTTTGACTGGGGATCTACTTTTTTGCTTATTGAGAGCAAGCTAATTCAAATAAGCACTTGTTTTTCTTCTTTGATGAACAGTTTGCTCTGATGAGATAGCCTGAAATCTGACTGCTTAATGTATGAACCTAATGAACATAATCCACCTCCTGCTAAAGCCAATAGCAGATTTCCCATCGATTTGTAATGGGGCTGTTTCTGCCTGTTTCATCAACTGCAATGAACAGACTTTAAAGTGTTGTTGTTCGTTAGGGAATTACATGTGCAAGAGTATATGGGAACCGATTTCTTTTGTTTGATGAGGCTGAGAAATGTGGTTTTTGAATTTCATTTGAATAGGTGTTAAAATCAGAGTTTGTGAGTTTGAAACAAAAGCAGATGGCTTGAGAAAGAGCAGTTTTAAGCGAGTTAAATTATATGCCATTTATCTTCTTGCTGTCAGACTCAGAAAACATTGACATCGTCATATTCTCTGTAGGAGAAAGGTGGCAGCAGAGGGACTGATACAAAGTCAGTTAGATTTATTTATTTATTTTGTCATGACAGGAGCGACTTGAGAAACTGCAAGCCGCTTCTGGTGTGAGAGAATTGGCCGTCTGCAAGGAAGTTGCCCAGGGGATGCCCGGATGTTTTGATGTTTTTATCATCCTTGTAGGAGGCTTCTCTCATGTCTCCACATGAGGAGCTGGAGCTGATAGAGGGAGCTCATCTGCCTCTCTCCAGATTCAAACCTGCGACCTGTCAGTCTTCAGTCCTGCCGGCACAGGAATTTAACCCACTGTACCACCGGGGCCCCATTTAGTCAGTTAGATTTTTTTTAAAAACCACATAATATAGACAGAGGTAAGGATGGAGAGTGTGTGTGTATCTTTCTTTCCCCCATTTTATTTAAGGGTATATTTTCATTAGCGTATGCAATGATGTTATTAAATGAAAGGTTTAAAACAAGAAAATGAGCAAAGATAGAATTTGGAGATAACTTTGCAAAATGAAGAACTACCTCTTTAAAAATTGGTAAATGAAAAAGCAGGTTCTAGCAGGCTCTGTCCAGTTAGTAGGCTGGAAAGGACATACCTCTATGCTGGAAAGGATATACCTATCCAAACGCATCTCCCCCTATGAACCATTTTAGAGATTAAGATTGTCCTGGGGGGCCCTGCTCTCAGTCTCGCCTCCTTTGCAGGTGCGATTGACGGGGATGAGAGGCAGGGCCTTCTCAGTGGTGGCCCCTCGACTGTGGAACTCCCTCCCTAGTGATATTAGATCAGCTTCCTCCTTCCTGGCCTTCACAAAGCGTGAAAATGTGGCTTTGGGATCAAGTCTTCGGATAAGAATTGTAAATTCAATAGATGAATGTGCAATGTCTACTGGAATGGCCCCAGATTACAATTGTGGTTTGCATGGTTTTAATAGAGAATGTAATGTTTTTAAATTAATATGTTTCAATTTTAATTTTAAATGTTTATTTTAATTGTATGTTGTTTTTAAGGCATTGAATAGTTGCTTATATGTAAAGCCGTCTTGAGCATAAATAGACTAAATAAATAAATAAATGTCCTATTTGGATATTTATTTGTACCTATTTATGTAATTCTCCCTCCATATGCCTTCACTTTGGTTGCATGAAATATGATTGTGGCTATCCCGTAATTCAGGTTAAAGGAGATTGCATTTCAGCTTGAGTTTCTAAAAAGAATTCTTCACTTCAACTTGCACTAGTATGGTATATCTGATGTAAAATACAGAAAGTATAAACCTCTGCCATGCAATATGTTGTTGCCTCACAGATAGAAGCATCTGCCTTTAGAAAATGCCTACACCAAAATTTGTTTACAGCTGTAATTCAAGTTGGCTAGCAATCTATTTTATAATCATTTAATTCAAATTTACATTGTATATGTATATAAAATTTTAACTTGCATACCTTTTTGAACATTGAATAATGTGGTGCATAACAAAAGCCTCTACTTGGGGTGCGTCTACATTGCAGAATAAATGCAGTTTGTCACCCCATTTGCTGACATGACTCAGTGCTTTGGAGACATGGGACTTTTAATTTGTTGAAGCATCAAAACTCTTTGTCAGAGCAGACAAAAGACCTTGTAAAACTACAACTCCCATGATCTCATAGTATTGGGCTGTGGCACTTAAAATGGTGTTAAATTGCATTAATTCCATAATGTAGATGTACCTTGGTTCAAGAAGTTTTACCTTTAATACCCTACCAATTGAGACTTTAGGCCCCACTTTATGCATATAATATTGTACAATATCACAACTCGCAGTACACAGAACATTATTTTACAAGAATTTTTTCAAACTAAGTATTTTAAAAGAATATTATTATATACAAATTGTAGAGGGAATAATAGATATTTTTCCTACATGGAACAAGAAGATGTTGGGCAGTGGACTGAGTTGTTTTCTAACTGCATATATTCTAATTGCAACATTCCTGTTACTATCAACAATCAAGAGAAGAGATTTTTCTGACCTTGATGGAGAATACAAAAAAATTGGCATACAGGAAATCTCTGATTTTATTGTAGCCTTTGTGTTTTTCTGGTGTCAGGTTGGAAAGCATCCTGTTTGATCATTAACTTCCCATTCCGAGCAGCAATTGCCAAGGTCAACTAAACAAACAATAGGCAAATCTTCAGGAAGACACACTGACTTACAGTAGCTAAGGAATAAGTGCAGATTAGTTGTAATAGGATCTGCTTGGGACTATATAGCAACTTTAATCCATCTTGGTGGAGGGTACTTCTGAAGATCATGCAGCTGTGTGTCTTAGGATTTTTTTTTATCCAAAAGTAAAAAATCCTGTATAGTTTTCATAATTATTTCTAAATTAAATTGCAAGTCTTACATTCCGGAAAAAGATACAACCCCGAATGTGCTACTATTGAGTGGTAATATTACTGTATTGTCAAAGGCTTTCATGGCCGGAATCACTGGTTTGTTGTAGGTTTTTCGGGCTGTATGGCCATGTTCGAGAAGCATTATCTCCTGACGTTTCGTCTGTATCTATGGGAGGCATCCTCAGAGGTTATCTCTGAGGATGCCGGCCATAGATGCAGGTGAAATGTCAGGAGAGAATGCTTCTAGGTAACATTATTGCTGTCTAAATCTAATTGCTAATACCTTCTATTGTAGACCTATTGAATTAGTGGGATTTACAAAACTGTTAACACCATTCAGCAGTTAGTTCAATTTGTCTATTCTACTTGCAGCTAGTAATTGGCTCAAATATCAATTTATTTTGGTCCTAAAATAATAATATCTTAATAGGAAGAAACTGGACAAATTCTCATTTGGCCAGATGTCACTTTGGCATTAAGGAGCTATCCAGGTGCTGAACCTATCCTGTTGGTTTTCTTCAGTGCCTAGCTTCTGTAATCTTTTGAATTAAACTCCAAGTAAATTTGCTGCACCACTAATATGAAAACCAACTGTTGGTTTGATTTGGAATATGGTGTTTGAGTTCCAAAAGACGTCAAACAAGAGCCTAAAACTTTCTTATTGGCAATATGATGATAGCGCTAGTAGTTTCAAGGAACAAACACTTTAAGTGACCTTTGTTTACATTTTGTGTTTATGGCCTGCTTCATTCTGGCAGTAGATCTACTCAGTGAATGGACTTCACAAATAGTTTTCGAAAGAAAGATGACCAAGGGAAAAAAAATGTGTCCCTCTGCCCCTTGAAAACTGGCTCTTGAATATGTGAAACAACAAGGCATGGTAGGGAACCACCATATTTTCCCTTTTCCTTTGCCAGTCACATTCCCAGAGCTCTACATATTTTTCAAAAGATCTGACTTATGAAGGAAGCAGGAGTGAATTTTGAGTGTTGTGTGGTTTCTGGGCTGCATGGCCATGTTGTAGCAGCATTTTCTCCTGATGTTTCGCCTGCATCTGTGCTGGCATCTTCAGAGGAGTGAAGTAGCAAACTTCATCCAGGTTTTCCAGGGGAGCATATACAGTGATCTATGGTCACTCCTTTTGTAGTCATGGTGTGTGCACATGTCTGTACAAATCAGAAATGGCATGGCAATAATGCTTCTTACATGTTCAGCCTTCCTTTTTTTTAAGCAAAAGTGTAGAATATTATGTGCATTGATAATGTTGAAATTAGAAAATGTATTTGCTATTCTCGGTGGTCTATATCAAACCGTAGATTGTCATATATCCAATTGCATTGCATGAACTTCGCAGACTGAGTATGAAGATCTTGCTGATATTGCTACCCTAAGTAGCCCAGTATTTGATACCTGCTTTTTATCAGAAGAATATGAGGCAAGTGAATAGTTTTAATTAGTCGATTTTAAGTCAGGAGCAGTGAGGCAAAGTGGTGATGGCTTCCTTAGATTGTTCTTTGATGGTCTTGTGTGACTGACAATACTTACTTTGGGATGTGTCTTGCTTTGGAGTTCTTCAACATTTAGGCACCCATTAACACAAGGATGGGTGAAGTGCAACCCACAGGCTACAGATGGCCCTTGGGGTCCCATAGGAACCCTGCAAAACTCTCATATTGCTCTTAAGTTTTTTTTAAAAAAAACTTTTCAGGTTGATTTTTGTGTCCATATTTGCCCCAAAACCACCTTAAAAGGCAGTAGTTTTCTCTATTTACCCCCCCTTCCCCAAAATTGACAAAAAGACCAATAACCAAATGACAACTAGACAACCCACCAGGCAGACACAGGAAGGAAAAATAATCATTCTCCTGTTTGCAGTAGCCCACCCCAGCTTTAGCCCAAACTTGAAAACCCTCCTCCTTCCACTGCTAACAGCCTTGTCCATATTTTCATCTGCAAAAACAGAGAAATATAAATAGAGCACATGTAGTTGAACAGAACTGAAAAAAATCCCTAGGTTTGCACTAGATCTGTGCTTTGTCTGCCTTGTTGTTTTTGAGTTTTTTTCCGTGTCAGGAGCAACTTAAGAAACTGTAAATTGCTTCTGGTGTGTGAGAGAATTGGCTGTCTGCAAGGATGTTGCCCAGGGGACGCCCGGATGTTTTGATGTTTTGCCATCTTTGTGGGAGACTTCTCTCATGTCCTTGTATGGGGAGCTGAAGCTGACAGAGGGAGCTCATCCGGACTCTCCCTGAATTCAAACCTGTGACCTGTCGGTCTTCAGTCCTGCGGGCACAAGGGTTTAACCCATTGTGCCACGGGGGCTTTGGTTAGATACTGCTAGTGTGAATAAACCACTGCACTGTTAGTAGGAGTCCAGCAGGTGCCAGCCTATGTCCTGTGTGACGCTTGCCCTGGAGGGAATGATAGCAAGAATAGTCAGTGCCTTGGATGAGAATTGGGGAAGATTTTGGTGAGGAGTAGGCTTAGGTATTTCAGCAGATAGTTTAAAAAAAAAACTATGGCCTTTCCCCCTCACTCTCTTATGCCAGGAGACTGGTGTCTCCCACATCTGAGTGAATAAAGCCTGTGTGGTACTGATAGTTCAGTGTTGAAGTACTTTGAACAGAAAGATCAGAATTCATAACAATGTATTTGTGGTTTTGTGTATAACCCCTGTTAGACCAGAACCATTGCACTGTTCATTGGGTCTTCATCAGAATGCATGCTTTCCAAAAATAAGATTATTAGGGAATAAATCCTGTATTCTGGCTGTTTTGTTCATTTTCTCTGGGTCTCTGCTTTCATTGTTTTATTTAGTCATGCTTCTTCAATATGTTCTACACATTTTATACTTTTAAGATCCATTCATACTGACATCTGTATGATACCAGCAAAGGTAGATTCAGATGCCTGCTTTCCATGCATCATAACAGCACCTTTCCTCGTTGTTTGTCCTGCCTTGCCCACTTCCGTCCCTAAAATGATTGATTGAAATGCTGTTGCGGCAACTTGTTTATCACCACCTTCTTTTAATCTTTTAACAGAGGGACCCTGCAATCTCCACTGATGTTTCCATCTCTAAAAGTGCACTGTACTCTCGGATAAGCAGCTCCGAGGGAGAAAATACTTCCGGTTTACTTTACCAGCAACAAGATCTGAACTCTGCCTTGAGAGTTGCCAGAGAGGAGGTAGCTTTTATTTGAAATTTTAAAAGTTGTTTCTTTTTAATAATTGATTTTCAGAAAAGTATCTGTTCTAAGTCTTCTTTTGGTTCATTTTTAAACATAAAAGATTAAAGATGTACAAAAGATAAACAAATTATGGTGCTGTAATTTTGAGCCAAAACAAGCAAGATGCAACTCAACTTGTTGTGAGTGGTAAATTATAGGACAAGCAATGATTAATTTCCCATTTAAGAATAATTTATTTCTTACTTCTCTTAATCATAGTTCAGTAATATATTCCACAGTATTCCTTAATCATGATGTGCTCCTAACTCAGCATTTGTTGCAGTTCAGCTCATGATTGTGGCTGATACCAATGTTCATGTGGACATGGATCATGGGAATTCTGGGCCTGTGAGTCCACATTTTAAGTCCTAAAAATGATCGCTCTGTGTCTCCAGCAGTTAGTAAAGGTCACATTCCAGAGAGTTGCCAAGATGGTGCAGAGGAGCTGTTCTATAGGGAAAAGAGTTGAGAAACTGAAATCCCAGGTGTAGAGAATATTGAGTTGCTAGATAATGAGCTGGTTGATAGGAGACTTAGTTTTCGTAAACTTCGGGCTGCTCAGCAGAATCTTCAAAGGTCACAGCCCCCATTACAGAAGAAACCTATATCAGAAACTCATGTGAGAAGGTATGATTTCATGTCTATATTAGAGAGGCCCGGGAGCATTGACCAACCAGTCTAGTCAATGTTGGTAATTGAGACAACAGCTCTTGCCAAGTCCTGGTGAAGGGGATTCTAGTTTCATGTCTTTGTTCTGGTTTTATGCATCCAAGTTTTAAGGATTACTCCTTTACATTGAACCTTGTGGACTATTTTATATGTATAGACTTTGAAGTTTTTACTAATTTTGCTGAAGTGCTTATATAATCTTCAATAAACTGTTTTATTGATTTAATTTGGACTGGAATGCGGTGGTTAAGTACAGAGGTGTTTCCCACACAGGGGTGCAACAGCATTTTACCCCTTAATCCAAACTAACAAGTAGCTAGGATAGTGTCTTCCCTGTACCTCAGCTGTAAACAGTTTTGCAGTGTAAATAATTTTCTTTTACTTGGCCATTTGTTTCATATGGTCAGTCTGTTTATGATGATAATTATTTGGAGAGAAAAAATCTTGCTTGAAGTATGGATTTCAACACAGGTGTTTTTGTATATATACAACAGAAGAACACACACATGGGCACCATATGTATTAGCTTATTAAATTTATAACACTTAGATGTCTTTGGTCAGATTTTGGCAAGCTCCACTGGTGTGAAGTTCACATCAGTGTTGCACATGTAAAAGTGAGGTTATGAGCTACAATTTTATCATCTTCTGATAATGTGAGTGAGATTTTGTATTTTTGGTGGGGGGGGGGGACCTAGTATAATATGAATGTCATACTAACTGATGGGGTCCAAACTAAAGCACATCTGTAGGCCTTATGTCTTTTTCTCATGTGTGAAAGATACTTTCTCTATCTCTATTAACAGTTTAAGCTGGATTAACCTCTGTTAACCTGGATCTGGATTTTACCCTCTTTAATTTCCCCAGCCTTAAGTTTGTTTTAAAATAGAAGAAATCGAATCAATATTTTGATTTTTAAAACTTGCCCTACCCATTTTGGATTGACTCTTGGTATCTTTATGATGATATTTTTTTTCTCTTTTCATAATAGATCGTAGCTAAGGAAAGAGAGATATCTGAATGGAAAGAGAAATATGAAGAGAGCAGGAGGGAAGTTATGGAAATGAGGTGTGTTTTTATCTTTCTATGCCTGTTCTTTAAGATAGGAAAGAACATATGGGCTTTTCTCCTTTGAAAAACTGTTAATGTGCTTGTGACTTTTTAAAACTTTTATTACTGGGTCCTTACTAAATGTTGAAACAGTGGGTGGAAAGAAACTGAAACTGAGACAGAACTATATTAGGTCCTCTAAAATTAGAGTGAAACTGAGATTGAACTATATTGGCTCATCTGTGTTAAAAATAACGTGTGATATTTATGCACTGGATTGTAGGTGATTTGTACCTAAAATGACTTTGGGGATCTTTCTGAAAGTCAGCTGAATCATTGCTGCTAACATGAAATGGCTTCTCTAAATCAGGACTTCTTAAACATTTTCCCATTCCAACACCTTTCTACCTGAGAAATTATTACATGACCCTAGATATGAATAGGTATAAAGTAAGACATTTACTGCTATAAATCAGCATTTGCAAGGCTTGCTAAACAGGATGATTTTTCCTTTTGTAGGGTACTGCCTCTTGGTAGAAAACTGCATAGAGTCCAATGTAAACATTCATATTGTTGCTCACCAAAAAGCATAACAGAAACTGGGTTGTTGTCTTCAGACCTCACTACCTCTGAGGATGCTTACCATAGATGCAGGCAAAACGTCAGGAGAGAATGCCTCTAGAATATGGCCATATAGTCCAAAAAAACCTACAACAACCCAGTGATTCCGGCCATGAAAGCCTTCAACAATACATTCATCACAGCAACCTTTTACAGTTGCTAATTTTTGGAACCCCAACATTGTGCTCAGGGGACCCCATTTGTAGTCAGGACCCAAAGTTTAGATCCGTTCTTCATTTGCAAACTGCTTCAGTAATTTTGAATGGAGCCAAGTGGCAGCTGTATTTTTAGTTAATGTAGAACCAAGCTGTCAGTGCTGGAACCTCCCACTTCCCTAGTTCTTAATAAAAAGATGTCTAATGGACTCTAAATGACTTGCTTATTTAAAATTAAATGCATTTTCTTGTAGCCCAGAAAAAGTAAGACTGTCATGTCGGTTCTAAGTGCATTGGATGTAAACAATTGGCAGGTTTTGGCACTTGTTTGAAGTTAACTTTATTAAAGCATTTATTCAATAACTGCAAAGTTGTTAACAAAAACATTATTAAAATATTGTTTTATTCATTTATTTCATATCAAAAGCATTGCATAAATAAATAAGTTTAAAACTGGTAAAATAAAGGGACCCCCACAAGCTGCTAAATAGCTTTGGACCAAAACGGGCAACCGCGACCGCAGTGTCTGTAGCTTTTAACAGTTCTTCCTCTGTGCATGAGGCAAGGCATTGTGGACAAGCATACAGATGCTGAGTTGTTTGTTCTTCTCCACAGTCGCACTAGATGCAGGACTCTTCTAGGTCAGTGGTTCCCAACCTTTGGGCCTCCAGGTGTTTTGGACTTCAGCTTCCACAGTTCCTAACACCTGGTAAGCTGGCTCGGATTTCTGGGAGTTGCAGTCCCAAAACACCAGGAGGCCCAAAGGTTGGGAACTACTATTCTAGGTAGTGCCATTTTGCCAGGTTGTCATGTGATCTCCCAACATTACTTCTGAGTCTGTTCAGGGACTTCCACGTTGCCCAATGTTGGTTTGTTCCTGGAGGAAGAACCTTGTGGGGAGCCATCCAGTTGGAATTGCCTGATTTTGCTGCCCACAGGGATATTCTTGCTGTTGCTGGAGGAACACTTAGAAGAGTGGTGGTTCCCATGAAACTTTTCCTTGATTTAAGTCTACTGGGAAGTGGCTGATTGTGGGTGGCTTTCACAGTGTTCAACCTTGTTTTTCTTGCAATTGGCAGCAACTTCCCATTACACATCGGGTGGGGGTGGGGGGCAATGCCCGCTTGTGTTACAACAAAATATTGGTATAAACCTTATACAGCAGTGCTAAAATACTATAAAATCAACATCCCAGCAGTATATCAGAGGTACAGATACTGCAATTAATTAAAATCAATACATAAAATAAACATGAGACCACAAAAGCCATTTTGGAAAAAAGTGTACCATTAAAACAGAATTGAGGATAATCTCCCCACAAAACTTCACTTGATAATATGCTACAATATCACTGCCAAAAAGGTTCTGGTTGTATAGCAACTTAGCATACCTGTGGCAGAATGGATGCATTGAGCAGACCTTTAAAAAAAAGACTTATTGTGTAGGGAGTTTCACGTGGAATTAGGCCTTCTTCAGCTCTTACTTAAACCTGTGACTTATTCATCCTTATTTAAGATGACCATAGCAGTAGGTCAGCTTGATAAAGGAATAAAGCTCACACATTTTTTCATTTAAATAACTAGTGATACTTTTTTGGTAATATGGAAAAATATACTTGGGTTTTTTCCAATCATCAAATTTTAAAATATCTTCAAAGAATTATTCAGTATGGCAGAATTTAGAGGGGGAAAACAGGCAAGGAAGTACATGCTTGACTTTATTTAATATTCACTTTGCAAATTGTGACTCACCGTGCAAATGCTGCGGATCAAGGCTAGTCACATTTCATTAGCCTGATTTCACTCTGGAAAGACATGGATGAGCTGCTTAAATCGCTTATAATCTCCTTATTCTAGCTAGCCTCTTTTTGAGAACAAATTCAAAATAGGAGGTTGGGTATGTATGTTTTAAAGTGAAGGCAAAGCTGTAGAATTGTCACTTTGCTTGAAGGTTTAAAGTTTTGTCTTCAAACTGGGACAGGCAAGGATTTGAATGGCATCACCTATGCTTTCTGTTTCTCCAAATAAGAACACAATTGCTAATTATTTTTAATATACTAAATTGAGTGCATGAGGAGGCAAATATCATCCTTCCTTCTTGCTGTCCTGGTTTCCTGGCAAAATTAGGAAAGCCTTCCTCCCACACAAATTTACTAATTGGGCATATGGAATAGCAGAAGGACACAATCTGTCGTCTACTTGAAGTTAGTAACAAAGTTCATTGATTTCTAATAGTCTTAAGAGAGAACTTTAAATTATGACATCTTTGATATATTATCCATGCAGGGCTTCTAGTCTGCTTTGCTGACAACTCTTGTCCAGTTTAAATGCTTGGAGTCCCATCTAAACTATACATGCTCTCTACCCATGCTGATGATGGGGTTTTAGCAAATTACTTCCAGATTTCAAAGTCAAGTATGAGAGATTCCATATTAATTGTCAGTGATATCAATCGGTGCTTGATGAAAGCTCTTTTTCTGCATCTACTGTACCTGAAGCATAGAAGAAGGAGTTGTATCTAGTCCCAGAAAGACCACATGTGTTGGGTATCATGTTCTGGAACACAGCAGCATGGGTTTAATAGTTCTACCATATATTCAGATGTGCCATGTGTTGATTATGCAGGAGTTATGAACTCTTAGCTCTCCAGATAGTACCTGATTGGAGGTCCCATCAGCACCAGTCAGCATAGCCAATACTGAGATACTTAGAGAACTGCAGTCCATTGGCATCTGAAGACCATGCACTCCCCTCTTCTGAATCCTGAATTCAGATTAAATATTTATGTTATATCTCAGCTCTTATTTCTCCCATTATGTATTCTGAAGGTGTTTCGATGCTATTGTAAAAAGTAACTTATACGGACACATTCATTGTCATTTTTTCTTGTCCTTTATAGGAAAATCGTTTCAGAGTATGAGAAGACAATCGCTCAGATGATAGGTAGGTGCTATTGTCATGACAGACAGACTCCTTGGTCTAATTAGAGATGATAGGAATTAATGTAAAGCTGAGTTGCACTTTTGATCTTAAAATCCACTTTTCTTTGGTATTTATTTTTAAAATCAAGAAAAGTTGTGATGATACCTGCAATTAACTTAATAGCTAGGGTAAATTCATGAAAATGAGATGTGAAAAATTCAGAGAACTCTAAGTTAATTCAGATGTTTGATTTTGTATGTGCAGTCTTGGCATCCCAGGCAGAATTTGTTGTTAATTAGTTAGATGGTTGTTGCATTATTTAATACATTTCTGATTAGAATGATAGCTTACAGTGTAATCACTAATGCCAATGGGTGCTTTTTTTCATTCTCCATATGTATATGTTTGTCTCTGTGTGTGTCTTTTAGCACAGCTCCCAGTTCATGGATTAGTCGATACAGAAATGTTTAGCAACTCATAGTCCAATCCTAAGCACTTTGATCACAATCCAGGGCACAACACAATGGAAGGGGTTTTGGCATCACTTCACTTTGGGAGCTTTCAAAAGATGTCTGGGATGCAGTGCACAAAACCCCTTTTAGTGGGCAAATAGGGGGCAAAAGCTCCCTACACATTTGCAAACCCTTTCACATTCTCGCAGGCCCCTTGAGCATATTTATCATTCACTTGAAAGCTGGTTTCACTGATTACAGTGAAATTTACCTCCAAAGAAATGTACAGAGATACCTCAGCCATGCATCATATATTGCATACATGAGGAGAAGTGGAATTAGATTGCAGTCAGCCATTTTATTAATTTTTAAAAGGAAAAAGAAGAAATGGTGACAACACAGCTGGCTCCCAAATGAATTTCAGTCTGGAAAAGAAAGAAAAAACATCCAGAGCAATTTTTCTCATTTGGTTTCAGCCCCTCCACCTCGAAGCAAGGAACCCTTTCTGACTGATTACAACTTTATTTAAATGATTGCTAGTCAGTATTTAATCTTCAGATACCGAGACAAGTACTCAGCAATTTCAAATATATAACCTCTCCAATCTGGAAATGCCCCAGAGCTTTTGAACATGTTGCCTTGCAAAACTCACTGTCTTACAACTTGTTTTGGGGATAACTTTTCCAAATTAGTTTGGCTGTTAATTGCTGGTTTGTTGCAAAACATCACAACTCTGTGGACCACCGGGAATCTGATGGGACATATTTGTCTTCCTTCAGTTTCAGAAGTGCTTTTGGCACCAAATGTTTGTGTCTAGTAGCACAGTCAAAACAGAGTCATCCTGTTAACAGAACATCAGCTTTATCGGATCAAAGATTAATCATTACAGTGCTTTTGAGATTAATCTCTCAGGCTCTGCAAATATATTATTTGAATGGTTAGAAAATAAAACTTTATGTCTGCTTCATTTGCAATGTGATGAGGGACAGATTAAGGCCTCATAAGGAACATCACTCTGAAAACCTTGGAATATTTATGATGTTGTGGGGAGCAGCACTATTTATATTCTTTTTATGTATCCACAGTAACTTTGCAAATATGGAAGTGCTTGCAGTATTAAGCATGGTATTTCAGATCCGAAATTGGCACAGTGTTGGTGTATTTGGCTTTCCAAGATGTCATTGGGGCACTCAAGCCCTCCAGACTGGTTTTTTTTATGGCAAAAAGGATGATAAATGGTTCTCCAGAAGTAGGAATTGACCATTTAAAATGGATTCTGGGGACTGCTGCATTATTTAATATTTAAAAATTTCACATTTTTCTCAAAACCAGAAGTGAACTACAACCACTTCTAATTTTGCTTCTTTCATTTTAGGATATTTAGGCAGTCCATGTAATTCCTGTAGGACGCTAGGGTGGCATTTTCCTCTCTATCTACCACAGTTGTCCACCACTGTTATAGTCTTACCAGATCAAGTAGTTTGTTTCTGTTGCTCTCGATACTCATCCTATCTTTTTTTTCTCCTTTTATCAGTATTTGTATCACCCTACCAAATGTATTCAACACTTGTGTAATAATTTGTTGTGAACATTTTCCAAAACATTCTGTATATGTGTGTCTTTTCTGGTGCCATTTCTACAGTACAAGATAAGGATCAAACTTAAAAATTTGCCCTAAAGTACTCATTGGTAACCCTTTGCTTTTTAGAACTGTAGGTTAGCTGTTTTTAATAGGTAGAAAGGAGCATAGTTTTGACAGTCTGTGTTGATGTGTGCCTTCAAGTTGTTTCTGACTTAAGGTAACCCTAAGGCAAACCTATCATGGAGTGCTCTTGGTAAGATTAGTTCAGAAAAGGTTTTCCTTTGCCTTCCTCTGATTCTGAGAAATTTTTATGTGACACCAGGTATGCAGGTATGTAGATTGGTTGAGGAGGAGGGAAGATGGCAGCGTAGCCGGAGCCACGTCTCTTTCACTCCCTAATCCTCCAAGCAGCACAATTAGAGAGGAATACTGACAACAGACTGATAAGCCACTCTTATCTCAGAGGAGTTTTGAATGTCACCAGCAATATTCTATTAATCAACACTGAGAAAAAAGAAGAAGGGGGTGAGAAAAACAAGCTGACCCATTTAGCTTTCTATGGATTCTGGAAACTGAAGCAACATTTATTCTTAAATCATTGTTGTGGATTTAGCAAAATACTACTCTAAGGCTATTATTCTACTAGAAGGTGGCTTGTTATAATTTCTTCTCCCTGCTTTCTCAGCCCCGTGGTGGCTGTAGTTTCAAACCTGCTTGATTGTTGTGAGAATTATCCGGTGCTGAGAAGGAGTAAAAGTGAGGGAGTAAGAAAGAGAAGGTGCAAAGAGCAAGAAAAACAAAGAAAGAGTCTGAAGTTCAGGGGTACTTACAGCTGACCTCTTGCTGAAGAAGTGGATTGACACAAAAGACTTCCGGTTAGTGAAATTACCCCCTCAATGACTGGACATTGCTCCATATATCTTTGCCCAGAAATATATCTTGACACTGGGATTTGCTCTAAATCTGACATTTACAAAGATTTTTGTATTTCACAAAGCAAATCCATGGAGAATTTTTAGCATCTAGGTAATTTTATAATTCTTACTATTTTTACTACTTACAATTTTATCATTTTAATTTTATTTTTATACTTTATTTCATTAAACAAACATGTATTATTATTAATTCAATATGAGACTTATTTATTGAACTTACTTTTCCTGCTTTTTAATAACTTCAATAATTTTCAAATTATATGGATAAAACTTAGTAAAAGTAGCATCATCTTTGTCCAAAGCCCAGGGGTATCAAACAATTTTGATTTTGATTTTAGGCATAAACTTTCAACGTCATAGAATAGTCTCTACATGGGCCAAAATACGCAAAACTTCTGCTCTTAATAGTCTGCCTACTTTTGTTCAAAAGTTAGTTTTGGAATACTATGACCCAAAGAACGCTGAGAAAGTATTAATAGCAAGTGAGCACTGGTTGAATCAAGAATTCATAGATCTCACCACATTAGACAAAGCAAGTACCTTAAAGACTGTTTATACTACAATGGAGGCAAGAGAGGATGGTGATGAAGCAGAATCTATCTCTCAGTTCTCCCTTAACGAACATGCTGCTAATTGGTCCATTGACCCAGGTCTAATGGAAGTGACGCCCTCACCAGCATTGAAAAGACAATCATCTTCATACAAAGAAATTATAAACACTCTTAAAGAGAGGTCTGGCAGACTTCATCCAGCAGCTAAAGAGAACATTGAACCTACAATGCATGACCTCATGCGAGACCAATGCTTCCTAGTAGAGCAGACAGCAGAAAAATTATTTCAGAGGATGGATATGCTGCAAAGGGAAGTTTCTGGCCTAAGAGCAACCATTGGAGCTTTGACTGGTCTGGTAGAGCTTGGGATTCTGACTGCAGCACCTCCAGGAAATTGCTCTAGCCAAGAAATGGAGAGAAGTACTGGATCTGTAGTTTGCCAAGCTGACAATGAACCAGAAGTAGCCAAACTATCTTCAGAAACAACGGACAAGCAATTAAGTGACATATCGGAGGACTGGAACCTGAACTCCAGGAGATGTCCTCTAGTTGGAAGAAACGAGCTGTGCCCCAACAGCACCAAATCAATTTCGGTGCTTAGTCTTACTCCCTCAGACCCAAAATTCCAGGTAATAGATGAGTTCCTGGAGGGCCAGTCAGACACTTCTCCTCTTCCCTGCAACCAGGAGACACACAACAACAAGAATAATGCTATATTTGATACTATATTTAAAAATTCTAATAGTCCTGCTATAAAAGAGGCTTCAGTCACAGGAAGTGAATGCCCTACTCTCTCAGCACTCCAAAAGAGACTCAAAGAAATGGCAGAGGGTAGTGGAGAAGTAGATAGCAAACTCCCCAAACAGCTGGAAAGAAAACCGGCCTCCAATTACATTCAACATAGAAAGAGACACCCTTCTGGAGGGCAAGTGATTATACATAATTGGCCAGTGAAGAAACCAAGTGGGGCAATGATATTGGCAAAGGAACACCTAGCAGAACTACAATCTGCCCTGGGGTACACATTGGATTTAAATAACGGTGTATTCTGTAAATGTCTGATACAGAATGGTCATAGAGGCAGCATAGAACTAACATTCCAGGATCCAGAGGTGAGATGCAAATTCTTGTCCTTATTACCTACTCTCAATGAAGACCTACTACTTGAAATAAAACAGCCACAAAATGAAAATAAGCCTTGGCATCCCAAGCATCCAACATCTCATTTAAAGAACAAGTGGGAAAGCATACCCAGAAATGGAAACTGGAGTAGCAAGAGATGGAATAATCGTTGTTACAGCACCCCGCCTTTCATTACATACCCAAACAACATCCAGCTACAACAAGAACATAGGATCGGATGCACAGGACATCGAAGGCACATGGTAGATGTAGGTGTGTAAAATAGGTATATAAATCAAACATTTAGTGATACCAAATAAGCACTTAGAAGGCTTGCTAAACAGGCTGATTTTTTATTTTATGAAGTTTTGGCTGAAGC